CTTCCGCCTTTTTCGCGTTCCCATCTGGCCGATAGCTGTTCCAACTCCTTCTCCCATTCGTCCTATTCGGCAAAGGAACGGTTAATCCGGCATGATCGCGATCATCTACAGACGATGTTACGTCTGATCTATTCGGATCATGATTCGGATTTAAGAACGCGTTGCATTTCATATTTCCATGATTTATTCTCAACCGTTGCATTCCGAGCCGAAGCTATATTTATTCGTTTATTTTATTTTTATATATAAATACAATCCAGTTATCCGACATGTCTGCTCTATCTTCTCGGTATACCGGATAATCGGAATTTCACTGTAGCGTGATCTAGTTCAATGATTCGTCTTATTCATATCGGAATAATACGATCTTTCATCGATCTGTGGAAATATCTGGTGAACGGGCGAGAGATGAAGGAGAAAGATACGTACCCTGAATTCCTCTCGAATCCGTCTGTCCTCCTCTTCGCGATGGTGAGCGAATTTCCGATAGAGGTCATCCTCCTCCTTACGATGTTTCATCTCCAGCCGCGTCTGCTCGTCCCGATCCTGATAATCGAAGCGAAAAAAAGAGTCATCAAGGGCCTTTCTCTTAATTACAAGCGGACAGAGGAGACACCGGTCTTTCTCTGCGCGCGCAGCCGCGCGGCGGGAAATTTCAAACGACCCGTCGCGTCGCCTTGGGTAGTCCCGAGTGGCACGAACGAGTTTCACCGGCGGACAAGTGGCAATTAAAGCGTGGCATCCTCTTCGTCTATCAAAAAGCCGAGGCCGCGCCTAAACGTCCCGTAGGCAGCGACGGTCGTCCAGTTTTTGCCGGGTTTACTTTCACGCCGCGTTTCTGCTTTCCTTCTGTCACGGATCACGCCGGAAATGGCGCGATCCACGCTCCATCCCGGTCGACAAATTGAAGCGTTCGCAGAGAAAGAGAAACGGGGCGCGAGCATGGACGATTCGCGGACGAATTCGTTCCCACGATCCCGTCGTCGTGGATCTGTTTGCTAAGACGACGAAACCGGCGAGGGGAAGTACCGCGACGATGTTTGAAAAAGGTTCGGATTCGGAGTCGCGTTGCGCAAGCGATTTCCTGCGCGACTCGCGCGCGCGCGCTATCCGAGATGCCCACGCTACAGTTACGTCATGGCAGCGCACGTTGTTGCGTGAAATAACCGCAAATAAGGACAATGTTAGGGAGCATTGACATTTCTATCAGCTTCTTGCCAGTTTACGAAGATTTAGACGCGATCTAGGTTGGGATTCAACGAGAGTCTGTAACTCGGAGTTCCTCGTATGAAATCGTATAAATTAAATTGTATAAACTTTTACAGCTTCGTCGTTAACGAAATAGGTATATACCAGCTAATTAAAATAAATACAATGACCAATGCAAGTGGTTGATTTATCGGTTACGAGCTGCGATATTTGTTTAATGATTCACGTGGATTTTCACGCTATGCGCGGTTCTAGATATATATAGACGCAAACTATGACTGTGCATGGAGTAGGTGAGACAAGCGAGTACCAAACTAAGAGGAAAAACAAGTGGATAAAACAGATAAAAGTATCGGGTCAACCCACAAGTTCGTTGGTATGTGAATCATATGTATGATTCACTTTGACCGTTTTATACGAATGGATTAGTTTTTCTCCTTTTTCGCGTGTACGCAGTTGATGAAAAGTAAGGGATCTATGTCTACGAAGTATGACCAAAAACTGTCTAAGACCTACGCTTGCGAATCTGACTCATAACGACGCATCGCGACGCCTTCGGGTCGAAGTCGTGCACCACGAGTCAGACACGTGGTTTGAACCGAACGGATTGAGGTTTAATCGGAGATTATGCAGATGGACTAGTTAATGGAGTTAAATCTATCGGTAGTAGATCTCCTCTGAATATTTATAAGAGATTAAGCGAATTCGTATCAAAACACCTAGACGCTGTAAAAGCCATAAAATTCCAACTCCCCGATTGAAATGCTCTGTGCACTAAGGAATGTTGCGGTTGTGCTCGCTGAAATTGCCTAGACGAGCACCAGTCTCTCGGCGGCAGGTGTAATTAGGTTGCCGCAGAAAAAAGAAAAAAAGACAATTTGTCGTAATAACCGAAAGATTGCTGTTTTGAAATCGATGATCGCTGCTTGTCCCGTCGATCTCGTCACTCGAACGGATCGGCAAAGCGATCGCCGAGACGAGAAAGCGCGTTAATAGGGATCGTTCGGCCGATCTGTTTACTCGAGTCGTCGAAGTACTTTCCTTCGGCTATTTCACTGTGACTAGTTAACCAACATTCCACACGCGATTGGATCCTTCGGCGTTTATTCGAAGAAACATTCTTCATAATAATCAAGGAATTCCTGCCGGTCTGCGATCGTCTCGTGCCCCGCGTTCTCGCGCGACGACCATTTTGAAATTCCACCATGTCGACTCGCGCCGCGAACCTTATCGGTTCTACATAAACGATTTAGTAAAATTCTTCTGCTTGCCAGCCGGTAAAAAGGAAGACCCGCTAATGGGATTAATTCGATCAGTCTGTTTGCTCGCGTCGTTAAAGAAGTAATTCTCTTCGATGCTTGTTTGCGTGACTGGTTAACCAAGATTCCGTCACGATAGCACTTTCCTACATCTGTTTGCTTTTCCCTCGAACGGACAGATGCGTTTAATTCACCGACGCTAACGTCGATTTTGCTAAAAGCTGTCACATCCAAGACCGTGGCTCCTCGTGCGTATCGATGAACAGCGATACCGCTAAAAGTTTGCACTGTCTATTCAATTCCAACGAAACCGTCCCGTCTTCCTGTTAATCCCTTCGTTCGTAAACAGAAGATTTGTATCATCTCTGCCTGTGATTAAACTCAAACAAAGTTCCGCGAGTTCGCCAGTCCCGTCTCTTCTACACCAAGATAAGCCTTCTCGCTGCTGATTATGTTTGACAATTTTTCGAGTGCAGGCAAGAATTTTGCGTAAAAATTGCTAATCTCTTCTCGCTCCTTCGTTGGCAGAGATTATATAAACGTTATGTGCCGGGAAGTATGTCATTAGGTTGTTTGGAAAGTTTGCAGAAGGATTTAAAAGCCACGTATTCTTGCGGAAGTGACATCTCATTGGGTAACATTCGCACTCTTCCTTCCGTGCATATTTTGGTCTTCATTCTCGATAAGGAGTCGTTTCGAGCAGCTTTTAGGCGTCTAGAATTCCTCGTTATTGTACGACACGGATGAAAACCGCGATAAACGATAGCGTGGTGAAGCTGCATCCGGTGAAAGAGGACCGAGAACCAAAATACGTTCCCTGGTCCTATTAGCGCTGTCAAAGTTGACCAGATCCGACGACAAACGAGATACACGGAAACCAAACAAATTTTTCACGAATAGCCGTAACTCTGAACTTTCCACGCGATCCAACTAGAGACCGCGCTGATCCGGACCCGGAATTTCGTTATTTGGCAGAAGTTGGCAATAAATAGCCGTCGGATCGCGGGCAATCCAGGATACGTGGACGCTGAAAGACCGCGGGCTTTCCAACGAGGTATATAATGAAAAGTGGCAATTATAAATAACCACAGAGACGTCTATCAGAGTCCAAAAGTAAACGACGCGATGGCAAGTGGCCACGAACGATCGGATTCCAACGGCGCGCGGTCCAGCCCGCGATCGGCCGTGGAAGCTGGCGACGCGGCCGAAAAAGGAGAGAAAAGAAAGTAACAATAAAATCGATAGACGCCGGTGCACACCATTGACCGCAAACAGCGATTCCAATTAACATCCGTGGGTCGTTTGTTGGCGAAGGCGCGTGAGAGGTGAGCCACAATCGCTCTTTAAAACAGGATACGCACACGGTGGCCCTCCGCTCGCCGCCTCCGCTCTTTCTCCCTCGTAAACGCTGCTCCTTCCGCGGCCGAGCACCGATTCTCTAATTAACCGTCAGCCGCTGCGCGAGTACCGCAAGCGGAAGCGATTCTGGGTCCGCGCGCGAGCTTTCCTTCGCGTGCGTCGGGAAAAATAACGCATTCTTCCGTGGCAACGGTTCGAATAACGTTCACGAGGACGTTCGCATTGTTCCACGGTGCCCCGGAAGCGGCCTGGCCGCGTGAAGAAAGTTCACTCGCGGCTCGTGGAACCTTGACAGCGGATGGACCTCGAGGACGAGATCAAGCCACCCTGCTCGAGGTAGATCTTCGAGGGAGGTCTTATATGGATGACCATAGTTGCGGAATGTCGCATGTTCGTTGAACAGAGTCCATGTCGTACAGGTGTGCGTGAAATGGAGAAATTGCAGAATCCGTTGCAAACTGGTGCAGTTAGAAGTGGGCCTTTACGTTGTACGGTATCAGAATCGTTGCACAACGGAACTTCGATAATCTGATATTCAATAATTCCACATGCTCGATAAGCCCGTGACCTAGAATAGGGCTTCTTAACCTCTTGAATTATGATTCGATTATAAATAAATTCGTGCTTCCTTCTTTCTTTTCATGAAGGCTATTTTAATTTTAGTGGGGTGGATCGATATGTGCATATGTCTTCGTTATAGGGTTGAACTATGGGACTCAACCCCTTTATGAGTCACGTGATACTGAATTTGGGGGTTCGCGAAAATTTGACAACTGCTAATATATATTAGAATTGTAAGAATGTATGACAAAGAATTATTTTAAGTTTATTTTCTTTTATAATGCAAGGAGACGTGATCCTCGAATAGTTGAGCTGCAGTTACAATAAATATACTTTCCCACGAAATTGCCGTATCGTAAATCACAGTCCAACAATTCGATATATTCGATAATCCTGTTCTGCAGAACTCCGAAGCTTCAAGTAAGCCAGATTATTTCAATTGAGCCGAATATCGGCTTGGAAATCGTCGTCTCGTCCACGACAGTTACCGATTCATGGTTCCGCGAATCGTAGAAATCGACGACAGCTCTGTAGAGAACGATCGTGGACGGTTTACGAGCTCTCGATAATTGGGAAACCGCGTAGGCAAACCGATCTCGGGCGTGCCGTCATCCTCGCGAAAGTATGATCGGTTTTAACACTCGGGCTAACGGTCCCGTCGAACGCGCCACTGGTTATCATCGGTTGCAATAAAATAGAGAGCTTTCCGCGTATTGAACTGTTGTAGAGATTCCAACAGTCTTCGACCCGAAGCACCGACCATTGGGATTGAAATAAAAAAAAAAAAAAAAAAAAGAAGAAAAATAGAAAAACAAGCGAATTTTACCGATTTACCAGAGCGGAAAGATTTTGCACCTATGAGGCGCAAACAGCCATCGAATGACACGGTGATTGAATCGAGCGTGCATGGTAACGGGGTGAAAAACTGCGAGAATTTTCAAACACGCGATCTCGAAATTGGCACCAAACTCTGTACGACGATTAACAATATTCCGATTTTATGCACTTAACGCTCGAATTATGAAATCAATTAAAAATAATTTTATCTCTGACGTTTATTAAAAATGAAAACTGATGCTTGCTATATGTCTGCATATAGCATAAACTGATCGGTAGTTAGATCGTTAACAAAAATTATTCTCAAAAATATAAAATAATTTCTTTTACCCATAAGTCTGTCAAGACCAAAATGTCGAAGGCGAAAAGAAGCAAAATAGGATTGAAATAAAAGAGAAGATTATTCGAAACGACCACATCCGGAATTCCCGTATCATTTGCATAGGGTCATCTGACAAACAATGCGGTTTCTCTGAGAACCGAGCAACAAAACATGGCGCGATAAAGGCTAGATAAAAACGATGCAGGAATAAAGAGGAAGAAAATAATTCGAGGAATCGTCTGCCCACGAGAGAAGCCGCAAGGTAACCCAAATACACGGACGCGCGATACATAACCTATAAAACCCGCGAGACGAGTCTCCCGGCTCGTGGAGCAGTGGCGGATCGTCCTTGACGACACAGTAGCATACATTGTCCCGTTGCAAAGAGACGGAAAAATATTTTCATCGTCTCGTCCGCCTCTCGATCCATCTTACCGTCGCGAGGCGCCATTAACGTGCCGTTCCAGGGGCCCGTGCCTTTCCGTTCCTCGTCAACTGGACGCAGAAGGAAACGAGGCGTACGCGGCGTGCTCGACCCTGCTCGGTGCCCACGCTACTTTCGTTTCGTAAGACCGTGCACGCAGGTAGGCTGACATTCACGAAATACTATAAATAACGGCGTAGCCGGCGGGAGGCGTTTTGCTGGATGTGCACGCGAAAGCGGATTGAGAGAAAACGCTTCGATAGTGGAGCGACTAGCGGCTCGGCCTTCTTCTTCTACGCCGGCACGATGGGAAAAGCAGCGGCAATCTCATTTTCATGTAGGGTCCGTCTTCGCCGCGGTACACATTCCTCGAGCGATTCGCGCATGAAAGTCACGGCTGTTGGCACGGAATCCCGGTACCCGGTCCGCATTCCGCGCGATCGGAAATTCGGCTTCCGACGATTTTCCATTCAAACACGCGTCGCCACCCGGGTCCAACTAATCAACGGACTCTGGCGTTTCCACGCGCCGCTGAGCACCCTCGAAATACCTGATTTTATTGTCCCACCGACGACGTCGGGGCGCGAGCGTCCCTCGACTCCACGCTCGAGAACCGGATGTCTCGCCGCGTCGTTCGATCAACCATCGAATATGTTACGTGGATTAACTCGGCTTCCAGCGTGGTTAAGCGATTATTTTCCGGATTCTCTGCGGCATTCGGTTCACCGAACGTAAAAACGGATTCATGGCCCCCGTATGTCTGGGATTTTATTTTTAGTAGATACGTGGTTGGAGTAGCGTGTATCACTCGAGAACAGAGTCGGTTGATAAGCATTCAACGAGATGGGTTAATTTAATAGAGCTCCGCTATTCGTGGCCCAATTCGAGAAGGATAATTCTAGCTAAGTAGCCCAGAAAATCGTGAAACTCGGTCCGATTTCCAGCAATTTAACGGGCTCCTGTAATCAGGTCATCGTTAAAAAGGTATGAAAAAGGGAACGGCGAGACAATTTCCGAATAAATATTCCAGAGCCAAGTATATCCTTATCCCGAGTCTAGTCGTGCGTGTTATCCACGACCAAGTAAGGTGGACACGATATTAACACTAGGTTTACGGACGTTATCTGTATACCTATTTCTAAGGACACCTGTCAAATTGACAGGTAAAGGAAACCACGTGCTTTTTTTTAACGATTAGTTTAATTTAAAAGCAATTATATATTATATTAACATTCTTAATATAAGTTGACTAAATCTGTTACTATCGTATAATTGGAGCAACCCTTCCGTCCAATTGACGGGTTCCGTAAATCTAGTGTTAAGACGCCCGCCATTTTTACAATTCGATCGATCGGCTGAGAAGAACGCGTGGTCGATGCGCGGATCTCAACGCGATTCTTAGTCTTGCATGGAAACTCGGGCGAAGGAAGGAAATTTCGATGAAACGGTCGGTGGTAATTAAGCCGATGGCTGGCGTAATTACGCGGCGGATCGGCGTCGGAATAGAGGTAACCCGCTCCTAATATGGCGGTGACCGTGACGAATGATTTCACCGGACTATGCGAATGACTCACCAGATAATAATCGATGGGCTTCTCGCGTGCCTTGCTGTAGCCCTTCTGAAGCTCCGTCTGCTTAAGGGCATGGGCGATGTGAAGCGCGCTCGCATCGAATCTCCCATACTGGTAGCTCCCGTCTCCGGAATAATTGTGGTTGTACGGCGAGGACGCGCCTCCGCCGGCGTTCCCATGAAGATCACGCTGGGACGAATTCGTGGCCGGCGGTGAACCGTGTCCGTTTAGGTGCCTGGCACAATTAGGCGAGTCTACATTATCGTAACTGCAACAAAATCATGCAACGGGTCTTCAGGGGGTCTGGGGTTCGTCGTCGTCGCTTTTACGAGAATTTTCCCTCCAACTTGCCCGATCGACTGGCAAGCCAATAGACTAACAGAGGAGACACCGACCAGACGATTTCGAAGGGTTCCACGACGACGGATGACGAGGGATAGAGAAAGAGAAGTCGTCTGCGACCATGGTCCCAGAGTGCTGCGTTCGCCACCGCTTCCGGCATTTAGCATGCAAATTCAAGGATTCCACGCGACAGGGAACTGGGTCAGGCTTTTTAACGGGGCCTTGGAAACGTTTCCCTACGTGCAAACTCTGGTTCCGTGCGCGGGCTCATCGACGATTCAGCCGCGTTCCAACGAGCATCCTAGAACTAATTGCCACACGAGCCGAGCCAACCACGAGCCTGATTCATTGGTTCGACTAGGAAAAATCCGACAAGAGGCGCGCGTCTCGTGCACGAGCACCGCATCGCTTATGAGAAACCAGAGTCTCGGTTAAATGAATGTGTTACACCTCTCGCTCGTTCTCTCCTCCGGGGTTCATTCACTTGCGACCAAGCCACCGCTGCTTCTTCTTCTTCTTCTTCTTCTTCTTTTTCTTCTTCTTCTTCTTCTTCTTCTTCTTCCCCGGCTTCGGCTTCTACTTCTTCCTCTTCTTTTTCTTCCTGCTCGCGTACTTCTTCCTCTCTCCCGCTCTGCCTCTCTCGCGTGCACGCTCGCGCTGCTTGTGTCAGCCTCGGGCAGCTCGCGAAACGCGGCTACAAGAAATTCTTCCACTGCACGCGTAACCCGTGTGTGCACGCATGCTTCTTGCGCGTTGCTCCGCGGTGAAAACGATTCCGAGAGCGATATAAATCGACGCCTCGAGAATTTTCAGGAACACCAATTCGATCCCCAGCAGCGTGGTCCTTTTGCCGCCGATCGGCAGGTATGTCGGCCCCCCCTTATGCCAGCAGTCCCACTCGCCTGACCAATATGCTCGCCCCGTTTGTTTCCGCTTCGAGTATTTAATATTTCGTTTAATATCTTATATTGAAATTAAAAAATCCCATAAAATCTTTTATTTCTGAGTTTCTCTTTTTCCTATTCACAATAATGATATTCGTGCTTTGGCTTTGATGATATTCGTGTTAATTTGGTTATTGAAATTGGGAACATTGTGCATTGGGTTGTCCAATGTTCGATTTTCAGTAGGTGGCGTAAGGACAGGTCTGAATATATCAGAACAATTGAAAATAAATGACATTCGTACATATCGTAATAAACGGTACTTCAATCATATTTGGAAAAAAAATGGAGAAAATGAAAATTAGGAAACAAAATTAACCTTGTTATCTTCCGAAATATGCGAATTATAATTAAAAATTGGTTCCATCGATATACGATCTTCTTATATTAATTTTAAGTTCCATATTCTTATGTGCTCATTTAATTTTTCGATTTTTATTAATTATTATTAATCTTACGATCACAAATATAATTAAATTATTGAATATTGTGAGAAAATCCATATTTGTTTCTTGGCAAGTGTATCTCTGCAATTTTTTGGGATCTATCAGGCTTAGGGTGAGCATTAAATTGGTTAAATCCTGAAATCCTTGCGACCAGATTAGATTTACGTAAGGTTTCCATAGAGGTATATTTGTCGGTGGTTTTGCCGTGTTTTTTGGCTACCCGGTACTTGCCGAACGCTGCAACAGGTCTTTCCCTGATCGATTTTATAGCCTGTAAGGTGTAATTAGGATAAGACCTGGTTAATTCGGGCTTTCGTTTGATTTAGACACAGCACGCTCCTTCTTCTTGCAATTAACCGGAATCGAATAGGTTCCACCGTTTCGTCCTTATTTGCACAGCACCCATGGTATGCCGTGAAATCTTGCCGATTCTGATCTAGTTAATGGAAACTGTATTTCGCCTCCAGCCGCTAATCCTTATCGATTAGGCTAGCTTAAGGACGATTTCCCGGACGTCCCAGACTTTCGTTTAACTTCCCATTGCAGCTCCAAGTCTTTAACCATACTTCATTTGTTTGTATACATCGTCGAGAGGTGGTTGACCTTGAACAATTATGAACGGATTTTTGATGCGTTAGTATCTTTGTCCATTGTGTCTCCACTTGTGAAAATTTCGCTTTTCCTGCTGCTCTGACGCTATTCTCTTCTTGCGAGCTTATTGTTTCGAACGATGGTACTCTTCTGGTGTCCTTGTACTCTCTTTTTGTTACTAGATCTCGTTCTTTAATGCTCTTTTTGCTTTCCTCTTATTGTCAGAATTTTTTCTCGTCGCGTTCATCAGTTGTTACTTATCGCTTTTCTTTTATAGACTGGAGTTGTTTCCACGTGCATAGAAGCACAGTGCTGGATCGTTTTATCAGCTAGCCAGCAGTGAGTCACCAAGAACGTCTTGACAGTGGTCAAGAAGTTGCCAAGAGTGACTTTGAAGAAAGTGGATGTTCATCGTGTATATTGGATATTTAGCCAAAGAATAGACTTTGATACTCTAGGCCAATTTTGGATCCTGGTATAATCGTAGCGAATCAAAGAGGCAGAAGTTGGAACTCGTTACCAAGTCGAGCATCCTTTCGTGAACCTTGGCGAACGATATTTAACTCGAAAGAGCAGCCATCACCGGCCAAGTGTGGACCAAGTTTCGACACACGTACCTTTACACGCGATAATCCCTCAGAGTGTTATTCCTTTCGAAATAGAGCGATTAATCCCGAAACATTTGTCACTCCAAAAAATTAATATGCACCTAACCCAATGACTGCGATAAAATTAGGTAAAAATTTGATATATTCGAGCAGAACCTAATTTCAACATTAAGAATTGAAAACCTCGTTTAGGAGTGCAACAAATTTACCTTAATCTCGTTTTAATCCCTGTAATACCACCGATACTGCTACTCAGAGTCTCGATGTTAGACCTCGCTGCACGAGCACTATTATAGGAACCGGAGGAACCATTAGGAAGCGGACACGTTTGATATGAATCGAAAGATCGAAGGAAACGCGACATGGTACGGCATATTTTTCTTGCATGGATCGAAAGACGAACGCAGGATCGTCTGGCCGATCGCGTCCATGCGAATCTCTCGGAGGCGAGCTCGTTATTTCAAGGAAATCGGGTCAGCCATTGACATTCCGGCCGGAGAGCAAGTGTGCTTCTCGCGCGCACAATCGCGGTTTCACACTTTGTTCGAGACCTGGTCGGGATTAAGGCCAATGTGGCGATGCGTTATGTAACGAAGATGAACCAGATGGCTCGGCTGACACGTATGCATATAGGACTCGGGAACGACTGCGAGCCAACGCGTATTCGTGGCGAACAATTGTCACGGACAGTTCGTGAAAAAAATTCCGGACTTGTAGAAAAGTGTCCGAGTTACGTGACTGACTTTCCGATCCCCGTTCCGACGAGGAACAATGAATTTTCGGCGTGCCGGTGGGCGAACAGACGCGAGAATTATATCCGTGATCGAAATTCCGTTTTACATGGAGGAAAACGAAACGTACGACAGCAGCCGATGAGCCGAGTGTGCGATAAAAGATTAATCGTTGCCAAGGTTAAAGAACACGGTTAACAAACCGTTAACGCGATCGTTGGAGCACAAAAGGCCGCGCGACCATTTATACTCCATTTAAACGAGGATCTCGATTTAACACACCGAAGGGAAAGTGGTGAAACCGAACGTGAAGCGAGTCGATCGACTTTCCGGCGTATCGTTCGAGTGCCATTAAAATACAGGAAACGTAAAGGAGAGCCGTGCACGTTAATTTTCTGCAGACTGTTGTGCAGCAGTTTGCGTTTAACGGCTCGGCCATCCACCGGCGGCGCTGCTGCTAAAAGGGAGGAAAAAAGGAGCAAAAGGAAAGATATGAATAACCCGGACTCCGTGACAGACAACGATGGAATTTTAACGAGGCTTAACGCGACTTTGTCGAGACGAATCTCGTCGCCCGGCTTCGATTTTCCCATTAAGAGAATTACACGCATCGATCACACGTAGAAATTCGCGATTCGTCACAGCGTTATTGAACGTCCTGCGAAGGGGACGGACCGGGCGAGGCGGCGAGAGAGGCAAATATATGGGAAGAAAGGAAAAAGAGAAATGCGTTAATTCTACGATCGCTTTCAAGGTATCATTACCGTGCTAGTAAAACGTTCCCAGCGTAACTCAACCCGTAACCTTTGGAATAGCAATACCGGTTGCGTACGATCGCAGCCACGTCCTTGGAATCGTCAAACGCGGCTTAAGAAGGCTTAATTACGCGCGTGTCACGTCCCTACCCTGTTCGCAGACTCGAAAATTACACGCTCCTGCTATGCTGCACCACACTTTTCCTCGATCCACGCCACGCCTGGTCGAGTGTTCCTCCGTTTCCGGTGGCCGCGGAAGAGCAAGAACGGTCGGACGCGACGATGCAAATCGCTGGACTCGTTTGACCACGTGTCACGAGCTAATCTCGCGATTATGCTCGCTGTTATTTAACCAGCCCCCTTTTGCTCATGGGATGACAGCGTTTGATAGATTCCTAGAAGCGAAATAGCGTTCTACCTTGAACACTGTTTTTCCGTTTCCCCTCGTGCTCCGATCGCGATGCTAGTGATACTCATGAGATAAAACGGTAACGGCATAAGAATCGTTGCGTTGTTGCGCTCGTATCGCGATAAACGTAACGGGGAACGAAGGAAGGGTTGGATCGAGTGGATCTCGCGCGGTCCAGTTCGCTCGTTCGAGTTTTCTAGCCTAGATGAAGCGATGCGAGGCCGTCAGAAGTGGATATTCCTCTGGCTGCGATTCGCAGGGGATGACTACTCGGACAGAGAAGCCGCTACGATTCCCGAATTCCCGAGGAACGGGCCTCGATCGCTTGACATTTGTCGTATCGAGGGATATTTTTAACGTTCGGCGACTAGTTCAGAGACGAATCAGACCGGACGACTTCCAACAGAGACGATACACCCATCCCGGTGTTAATCGATTCACCGAGGCTCGAGCAATTTCTCAGTGGACCAAATTAACACACTCTACTACCTCCTACTTAGCAAGTCTACAGCACACATTCGTTCCGCGAACCTACCGCAAAGTCCTACATCTCTATCCCGGGTAGAGAGTTCGCTGGTAGGCTAACATTGTACAATTTGATGTTAGAAAATGGCGCAATTGGTTAATTATCCAAGACCATTTCCGCAGGAATGGTAGAAACACGAGGCGAGGTATCGAGTGGTAAATTAACAATGAAACGAAACAATGGGAGATTCCGACTCCGGTGACCTTGAATAAATTACTTATAATTATTACAATTACCAGGAACTAGGAACCATTTTCTCAACGGTGTTACGGATACGAGATAAAGCGTCGAATGTGATACTAAATCGACACGGAAACGGAAGAATGGAAGATTCTGATCTCGTTGACCTTGAGCAACGAATTCATTTTGCGAACAATCCAAGTGTTACAGAAAATATACAATTCGTTCAGACTCGATACACCTGATCATTTTATAGGAAAATGGTAGAAACGCGAGACAAAGGTACCGGATATTACATTGACTATGAAACGAAACAGAGGACTCTGCTTCCAGTAGTGACCTTGAGCATCCAAACAATCGTTAAAAGCGTTATAGAAAACATACATTTCGATCAGAGTCGATTCCTCTGATCATTTTCTAAACAAATGATAGAAAGGTGAGACAAAGGTACCGAATATTACACTGACAATGAAACGAAACAGAGGACTCTGCTTCCAGTGACCTTGAGCATCTAAACAATCGCTACAAAGCGTTACAGAAAATATACAATTCGTTCAGAATTGATACCCCTGATCATATTCTAGGAAAATAGTAACAATGTGAGACCAAGGTACCCAATATTACACTGATAATGAAACGAAACAGAGGACTCTGCTTCCAGTGACCTTGAGCATGTAAACAATCGTTACAAAGCGTTACAGAAAATGTACAATTCGTTCAGAGTCGATACCCCTGATCATTTTCTAGGCAAATGATAGAAAGGTGAGACAATGAAACGAAACGGTGGAGGTCTCTGCTTCCAGCAGCGACCTTGAGCATCTAAATTCGCTTTACGAAGAATCTACCGCGATTAGGTGTTATGGAAAGTCTCTTACCAAGGCGGATAAACTCCTCGCGGCGACCCGCCGCCGGCTCTGATCTGCTCGTTGACGTAACCGCTCCTCGGTACGTTCAGCGCGGACCTAATGACCACGCTGGACCCGTCCAAGGTTCCAGGCCCCGGTTTGGGAACGTGGCTGCTACAGTACACCTCCTTGTCGTTGATCGTGTGTTGGTTGTTGTAGTAGGTCTTCAGGGTCAGCTTGGTGCCGCAGATCGCGCACTTGAAGCAGCCCGCGTGAAAGAACGTGAAGTCCTTCAGCGGGCCGACCCTGTCCACCTGGTACACGGTCTGAGCGCACCTCAGACACGTGCTCTCGTAAAAGTTCGGCCGATACATCGTCCTCTCAGATGCTTCTGCCGTTTAGCTTCCGTTTCCTGCTTGATTCCTCTGACTGTGTCCTCAGGCCGGGCTGCTCCTCGCTGTGCAAGACGCTGCGTGCCACCTAGACAGGCAAGAAACTCGATGTCAGCTGGAGATGCCAGGCACGAGATGAGAAATTGCACGAGAAAGGGAATAGATCTTCGAGAGATTTGCATTCGCGATACGGTGGCGAGATGGGGATCAGGTATGGGCGAGTAATCGATGATCGAGGAATCATCGCTGGGATGGAATTCCTCTGGTGTTTTTTTTTTTTTTTTCTTTTTTTTGCGAAACAGGAGAAAAATTATGGTCGGTTACGGTTTCTAGATACGATCGGTGAAAGAGTAGCTAATAATTGGCGGCAAGGTAATGGCATAGAGGTGCTGTACGATTGCACAATGATAAGCAAACAGAGCAAGACCTATGAAACGTGGATATATGGGTACGGAACTTTCGAATCGTAGGGTAATATAGAGGTTCGAAGAATATCGATGCAACGCCCGATGATAGCGTTCCGAACTCATTTATGTTCGTACTTTGTCTGGAATAACGAGGGAATCTCAGATTGCATGCTCGATCGAGGATGTCGATAGTGGTTTTCACTTCGTTAGGTGCCTATTAATTGATCCTGGGATGAAAGTGAAACGCGATGTCTGATTTGAGAAATTTTCTAATTATCCCACGCGTTTCCTGAAAATTTCGTAATACAATGAGAGATTTATCATTTAAATCGAAGCTTCGTTTGATAAACTGTCAACGTGATAGGAGAACGTGATACCATTTAGAGTATTTAGAATAGCTCGATTATTTTTCATTTTCTCACCCAGTCTATCTATAATCAACCCAAAGCATAAAATATAATTGCAAAACAAGCAATTGCAAATAAAATAATCGAAATAAATTAGGATGAGCGCGGTAAATTTGATGCTCGGTAAAATAATTACCGAGTCAATTGCAAATAAAATAATAGAAACAAATCATCCCGCCGCTTCCAAAGTGCACGAAGGTGGCAGAAACGTTTCATAAGTTCAACCATACAACCCGGCAAAGCTCGTGCCTTAATTGGCAGTAATTACCGCGATGCAAAGCGCGCGTGCGCGAATCAGACCGAGGCTGTTTCCCAACTCCCAATAATTACCCCGCAGGATGTTTAAACAAGAGGAGGAAAAGGAAATAAAAATGAAAAAAAGCCACGAGATAAGAACAAACGAAGAAACGAGCCAACAGAAACCACGATACGATAGCATCTCGATCGGCAGGCGATCGAAGATGATAAGCCTAAACGCATCGTTATTAGGACTGACCGAGCCGCCGACACTTTCCTGCCAGCTTTTGCAACGAATCGTTGCCAATACTTTTCATAGTGGGCGACCAGCGAACGGATAATTGCAACAGATTTCACGAGCTCACGGTGTACCCGGCAATAACGTCATATAGGGATTTTCACACGTGCGAACGAAACCGTACGTCCTCGTTAACGCTTCGTTCCACGATAATCGCCTTTCCTGTTACGATCGCCGCGTGGAAATCGCATTTTTTCGTTCCAACCTGTTCCCTCATCGTTTCCATACGTCCATCTTCCACGCTCGCGCAAATTACGCAATCGCGAACGTGACAGAGTGCATTCTAGTAGATGTGAAGGAAATTTTTGAAACGAACTATCACCGATCTTTTCGAAATCATCTTGGTTTTGCCGATTGTTCGACGCGATCGGTTAAGTCTCGGGACGATCGAGCTTTTCCTCTTTCTCTCCGCGATTCTTCCTGTGCGCGAATTCCCCGGCGACCACAATGGCGCTTACGTCATTCCGTTAGCGACCATGCACAACAATACCGTAATAAACGCAGGATAGTCCGTCTCACGCATCACCGAATCGCGGCTTTCCGCTCGCCGCGACACGCACTGATTCTTTTTTTCAGACACCACCTCTCCGCGAGCTGTCCAGGGACGAAAAGTTCGCGAAGAAGATGGACGCGCTGGAAAGTCCCTCTTCCGGAGAACGAGCACGCGCCGGTCACCCGGGAGAAAGCATTTTATTTCGCGAACCGATCATTCCGTCGATGTCGAACACGTTCCTGGCTTATCAGCGGCTACCATAGCGTGCAACCGCGATTCTTTGTGCCACTCGGCCGTGGCGGGCTCTGAAAATATCGGACCCCTGCGTGGCTCGAACAATGGGGGTTAGCTTGTTAGGCAGTTTATCGATGAAATTTTCATCGGCTAAAAATCCCGGAAACCTTGTCAACGTTGCTATCTGCGAACGCGTTATGATCCGGTACAGGATCTACCGTGCGCGATCTGCGTCGAGAAACTTCCAAGTCGGCCTCTGGACGGTATAAAGATCGGAATCGCGTTCCCGATCGCCGTCGTGTCGGACCTGCTAATTTCGGTGTCAACTGGAAATTTATACCGTGGGTGCTAATAATACATACTTTTTCTCTTCTCCCCGTATGTGGGAAATAATTTTGTCACTTTCTAAATTGTTCTATCGTTTCATTCTGCTCGTTCCATAGAATTCTCGCTAGATTTTTATCCCGAGATATTTCTAGGAAGCGAACGGTATTTTCATTTGCTCTAATTCCTCCGCGATTTTTTAACTCTATGGAATTTCTAGCGATTTTATACGCAGCTAGGTCCCCCCGATCGTCGCAAGCAACAGATCTTGTATTTCTGTAACAGCGACTTGGAAAGGAAGATGTCGCGCACACGGAAGTGGCGATTCGCGTGGCGTTGCCGATTTAACGAAGAAACAAGCTCGATCGACTCGTGTCTCACGCTCGGACGTACCGGCAGTCGTAAATCGCATCTGCGTCCATCGCGTGTCATTTCCCTACGTGCCCCTCGCATTCGACTACGAAAACCTCGACTCCGGTTAATTGTCAGAGTCGTCGGTCTCGCTCGAGCAGATCGGCGACTTCGCGTGCATTTCAATCGCGCGATGTTACGCAACGTTGCAAGAGGAAATGGTAACGAGTGCCCGTAAAACGCGACACTTCCAATTACGGCCGCTCGTCGCTTTTCATTCATCCTGTTGCGCATGTGTGGTCGTCGAACGCGCAATTTCAAACGCGCGGTATCCATACATGTACCGCGTTTCATGGATCACCGGCTCCGATCGCCGCTCGAACCCGGCGATCCAACAGTAAAAATCCTTCCCCGACCATGTGACACGGGCGTCCGTGGAAAATTAGCGACGTCGGGCATGAGAAAATTATTTATCGCATTCCACGCATCGTTTATCACTCGATAATGCCCGCTCGAATACCCGCTGTCCCCATTCTGGCCCACCTTCTCCTAGGTATTTACGCTCGGCTCGCGCACGCACGCTCGTACGTGTATACGTGCGACCACGCACGCACACTCGCGAACGGCCACGTAGCCGTGTGCACGTACCTGCACGCACACGCGCAGGCCGGCGCGCGGACGCGCCACGTAACTCGGCGTTTCGCGTTAAAGAAACTTTATCGAGGTGACTCGAACGAGGTATACGCACGTACGCGGAGAGGAGGCTCGAGCGTGCGCGATGTTTCGCGCGGAGACGCGGATACAACGGGTTAACGGCATCGTGGATCAGCGGAAAAGGCGTGTTCCCGTGTTTGCGACAGTTTGTCTGGTTACTTAACGCGCGAAAGTACCGGTGAATAGCAGGCATTCCACTGAACGGGCACATCGATGGGCCCTGGTACACGTTGCACGGCTCTTTCTCCATCTTCCTCTCTCCTGCCGGCGATTCGAGAGATCCGAGCGATCTCTCGAGCACCGTGGAACACGAGAATCGACTCCTCGAGGCGCATCAGATTTGTCAAGCACGTGTACCATTGGGTAACGAAATAAATCGTGCATCGCGAGACCGATGGGTATCACGGTACCGGCGATCGTGTCTCGAGGAGAGAACGAATATTCGCGATATTCGCTGGCGAATATCGGAACGCGGCATGAATTCGACCGGTCGTTCTAGAGGCAAGACAATTGGAGCAGCGAGCAGGATGAAAAAAAGCCGAGTATGCCAGCAAGGCCAGTGTTCCCTCCTTCCCCCCTGGAGAAGTGGTCGACACCGGTACGATATATCCAGTGCATACTCACGTTCTCATGCTTCCATGTCCAGCAGCTTGGTCCACGAGAAACCTCGGCACCCGTCCCGGTGCAGTTCGAACATCTCTCCTTCGAGCTCCTCGGTCGTGTTTCCTTCTCTCTGCCGGCCAACGTCGGACACGATTTACTTTCTATCGACGAGCCGTGCTCCGCCTACGGGTAGGTAACCGAGACACTGCGAAAAATCGCGCACGATATACCACGGTACGGGCTTCCCTCTTCCGGTCGTCGTTACAGCCGCACCGAGCATTGAAATCACCAGGTGCCGATGATCACCGCGGGGCCGACGAGGACCTCGTGTTCGCGCGCGCACCGTCCACCCAGCCCACTGGCAGACAAAGAAGAGAATTCCGGGAACAGATCCACCTGCCAGGTAGTCGCGATGTGTCTGTCCTGTCTTCACGGACCTCTAGCAGAGTGAAACCGTGATCACGGTGACGATCGACGCTGCGTGAACGACGTTCCGGTTTGTCCCTCGATGGATCGCGCGTGCACACAGGCCCGGCCTATGTCTCGACCTTCCCGTCCACGCGTACGAACGTTTTCTGGCACCGTTTTCGTGTGTCCGCCACCTGGAATGAGGTCTCGCCACCAAGCGAGGCGGCCACGCGAGAGGTCGAACCTGAATATCGCCACCTGCTTCCTTCGACGTTCCAGGAAGATCTGAGGTGAGAGGGACGGCCATTTTGAGGGACCGCGCTGGCTCTCAGGTGGCGCTATGGTTGGAGAACCGTGGCTGCACCGGTGTGGGTATCACACTCTTTTACGTGCGCTCACCTGGCGAGGTTCTGTCTTTGTCACCTGTGACGATCCACGCACATGCTCGTCTTTCGTGCATTCCTTGCAAAGAAATCGCCTTTCCTTTGTCTTCCATTTTCTTTTCCTCTTTTTCCTTTCTTTTTCCTCTCCTCGAGACTCGCGTCGAGCCGTAGAAAATCGATCGCGCGATTTTCGATCGCGTACGTGATTCCCGGCCGATTGTTCCAGGACCTGTCGGTTTCTCAGGCTGCTTGGAACGCGGTCCCGATTCACTACTTTCGTTCGAACGACTGATCGATACGTGATGGGAAAAAAGAAAGCGGCGAACCAGTCTGTTTACCGAGATCGATGCCCACCGTTTTAGGATGTGTCCCGGAATCGCTTTTAAATCCTCCTCTGTTAAGCTGCTGTCACGACGCGAGCTTCCACTCGTCACTAGCTTACCGATTCAATCACGCGAAATCGGAATTACTGCCTGTCGGTCCAACGTGATTTTTCGCCTACCGCTTTATGACCAACTTTCACTGACTCATTGGGAACACGGATCAATGGAATGCTAAACCCGAGCCAAGCGACGATTGTCGATCCGCCGACGACAATGGGCGGGTTTCGAACTGTCGACAGGTGTGTCAGGTGTACCGACCTCGTCGATGGTACCCGAGAGACGAATTAAATTTGTTTCCAATAATGCAACGAAGTACGTGCTTACGCGAAGTGGCTTACGTAACGATTCTCGAGGTCGAGCAGCGAATACGATACGGACAAGGATCGTCGATAACGTATTAACTTCGCCATATCTGCGTATAGTAATTCGATGATTTCCCCTGCGCTGTTTTATATCGAGCAAATGGTTAATTTCCTCGCCGTGCGATTAGCGGCAACTTCTCTACGAAAAGTTACACTTAATGAATCTCTTACGGTCGTAAAAACGGAACATTAAGCCCCCATCAACCTGCTTATGGTTGTTTTCACCCGGCATACCGAGATATCGGGCTTCGATATCTCGAATGAGATCATTTGCCTGGGAGAGCGTACGGGCGGATGTTTTTTCGTCCGAATGAAAAGCAGGTTGCTCACGGTTAACGACGGATTCGATAAATTATTTAAATGAATTGTTCAGACCCCTCTCGCCGAGATCTCTCTTTCTCGCTGCCTCGACGCGGCGCGTTGGCCGGCTCGATTTAGCGAACTGCTCGCGGAGACCTGTTTCTTGTAATTCGAAATTGAAAATGAGAGAAAAGGAGGCGGCAGAAGGACGAAGGAAAGGGAGGAAAGAATCGAATGTTTTCACGCGGTGCCGGCATTTCGAGGCCCACGCGAGACGCGAGCGTTTTCTACACACGTGGGAAGTAAGTTGTAAGCGATGATGCAACCGTGGATATAATACAGATGCAAATTTACGTCGGCAACAGTTAGCATATAATTACACCTTACTGTATTTAGTTTTACGGGTGTATAAATTGATACGAGTGGTCTACCTTTCTGGCATTCTTCGCGCTTGTTTCCCACTCTTTCGTTGGCCGTCCAGGAGGAATCGCCATAACTGGAATGGCGCAGGTATTTTTACTTTTGTACGAGCCTTCGTGCATTTCTATGTGAACAGTGCACCGTCCGAGTGGCATACGAGATGGGAATGACGTTATACGATAGCGATATCGAATGGTCATTAGGATTCGAATATATGCTACTTCCTTTGCAATTATATCATTGTTCCGAGAACGATTGCATTATGTATTCCTCGCGAGACAATGGGCAGAATTTATTAAAGAGAAATTTATTACAATTGAATGGGGAGAGCTTTCTTTCATCGATTCGTTATGAGCTGTTTATAAGTTGCAACCAAGTAATGGTATCAATTTACGCCTGTGTCTCGCTCGATGTATATTTCATACCGTGATAAATTCAACGAAATATGCTCCGAGATAAATCCATTTATCGGTCGTATCAATTTTTCACTTCATTTTAACAGTTTATTGCCGGAGTTTATTGTAACAGTTTATTGTAACCGTATCGCAAACAAACCTCTAAATATAAATTCGTTCGTTTCGCGCGATATGTTTTCCATTGTCGATGCACATTACGTTTATTTAGTTTTTATCCAAACAACTGTAAATTAAACACGCGTAATGCGTGTGTATATAGTAAAACATTTATTCGTCGAACCGCTGCAACTCCAATTTTTAAAAAATATCCTGAAATCGATATTCAAATATCGAAGAGCAATTAAAATTTCCAAATAAACCAAGTCCGAATTTACTCGATCAATTTATCCCTAAATCAATCACGCTCTACAACAACGACAACAACGAAATATATACCCAGACTGCATCACTCGTCCTCGTATTTTGTTACATACGCACCAAAATTCTTATTTACCAAATTTTTACTGCACAGTCGGAACTTACGTTTCTATAAAAAAAATAAAATATCGAGTAATTAACCCTCTGCACTCGAGAGGCGACCCTCAGTCGCCATTTAATCGGATTCTAAAGATTGATCGACGATGCTTGGAATGTCGAAGTAAAATAATTCTACGTCTTAATTTGCATACGATTTCTTATTTACCGTTTCAAAAATATCGTCGACTTTATGGGAGAAAGTCTTCGAATTTGCTATTTTTCTGTAACGAAAAAATGGCCGAGTGCAAAGGGTTAAGAATTTCGTCGTACAAGCGAGTCTCGTTACGCGAATTTCTCAATTAATTTCAAGGAACCGGGGCCGTCGAGCTACCCTGCAAAACCCGCGACACCCTCGACACCCAACGAGTGTCCCAATTTCGGCACATCAAGTTCCCGGTGGAATTCGCGGTCGCGCGAAAAAGAGGATCAAGATCCCGGCGTCTAAGCTCGTAAGCAGGCGATCGTAGTCACCTACGGTTTTCCTCGAGCGAGTGCCAGCTCTAACGCTTCTAAACGCGCGCGGCGTCGCGATATATTTACGCGAACGGGGAGACTTCGGTAAAACGGTGGCAGCGGTCCAGCAGCCACGTTACGGAAATAGATTTCGGCTGGTGGCGATGCAACAGCTCCTTGTAGACGACGAGCGCTGCCGAGCGGTCGGAAGCAGCCAGTACCGTGACGACCAGTTCCCGAGGAAAAACGGAGAAATCGCCTCCGCGAGGTCCCACATGAATGTGAGTGCGATCTTCCTTTCACGAGTGCCATTATCCGCCGCGAATCGGTGGCCGTGCGTCACGCACCCCGATCCTCGGCCCGCAGTGCGTCCTTTGTTTTCTACGTGCTCGCCGATAACACGGTGCATCGCTCTGGAAACGCTCGACCGCGTGGAAGCGCGTCCCTCTGCCGTTCTCCTCTCCCCGATCGGCTCTTCCGTGAATCTTCCTCGTTTCTCTCGAACCTGGACAAACGAACGGGGCAGGGGCCTCGCTGGCTCGTCTTCCCTGGCCCAGGTTGCGTAAAGACGAGGTCTCGGGGCCGCTAGAGAGCTCAGGCTACGTGACAAGGCGACCAGGATCGTGGGGACTCGGCTATCGCCAGTAAATTTCACCGGTTTTACTTTCGCGTGGTGAAACGGAAGTGCTGGTGGTGAGACGCGCTGAGCGACCAGGATGTCTAGCCACGGAAGCTTCCGCGGGCCTCGGCTACGGGCCCACGTTCCATTACATGGTCCTCCCTCCGCTCTCGCGACTCGCGTACCGGAAGCCGAGGGAGATCGGATTGTTTATGAAGAAGACACGCGACGCTGGCCGCGCTTCTGCCGGAGTGCATGCTCGGTGACACTATCGCGGCGAAAGCATCTGAATATTCCTCTCCGTGCGAAACTACGAGCTGGACGGACGTAGAATTCTAATTTCGTTGGTTTCGTACTCGGAGTGGCCGTTCTACGTAGTTCCCGGGGTCCTGCGTGATTTGTGACACGTGTCAGTGATACGATCCATCTCGCTGCACGAGCCCCGCGTTTAATGGCTTTTCGGATATTTTCTTCGAGCGAACGATGCGTGTGTCGGGGCCCGGTATAGGTCGTATGTTTGCTCGTTAACCGGAAGATAATAAAACTCGCGCCGGGGATATTATTACGTAGTCAGAAAAATGTTTTCAGAAGAAACTCGAGCGCGCGGAGGGGGCTAGATCTTGGAGCGACTCCAACTTTCGTAGACTTTTGCAATTTTGACGAGAAATAGAGTTTCTAGAGACACGCTCGCTGCTCGTCTAGGCAATTTTTGCATTAAAATTAACTCGACGCGAGTTCGACGATGGGATGATTCTGGATTTACGGTTTGTCGAAATTTCTATTTGTCTTTGCGCTGGAGAAGGGTCATAGCGCGCTTATGACGATCGTGGCGAAATCTATATTTACGGTTCTCGGAGATCAGGTGCTTTGTTGCTCTTGTCGTAGACGGAATCGCAGCATAGAACAAAAGAGTATGAGCCGTCGGGAAGAACAGAAGGGGTAAACGTTCTAAAGATACGTATGGCTCTAATTCGAGGATCTAATTCATGCATGTGGAACTCGTGCGATGGCTGGAACCGCGAAATTACTCTGCCTGCACGCGAGAACCATTGCTCTTCGTTGATTTATAAACGAACGATAACGCGAAGCGAAAGAAATGGATAATAAAACGAGGCTGAATTACATCGCGGAATGTCTGAATCGAATTTCGAGGGAACGCTGAATGAATTTTGGAGCACAGCAGCGCGATATTTATGCATTCTTCGTATTCGTGTCAACGCGAAGAAATATATTGTCGCGTGGCTCGATTTTATTTCGAGACGCGGAACACGATTTTCCCCCGCAGAAATAGATTCGATTTTGGCCTCTTCCGGCGGAGAATCAACCGTGTGACGTCACGCTTTCTCGAGGATCCACTCGAAAAATCTCGATCGTGCGTCTAGCGAAGTCTCAGACACCCCGGTCCAACGTGCGATGACATGAATTCACGAACTGCTTGGCAGCCGAACACGAGTCACCGATGCCAGCTTGTCACCCCAATTCGAGACTTGTGCAAAAATGCATCGTTACCGATAAACAATAGAAAAGATTTATCGTCATAGGCGCGAGAGATTGCGCGTGTCGCAACCGTCTTAAACGCGCGAACGCCGATTAACCGGGTTCTTTCAGAAGTATTTGAGAAACGCGGTAACCTACTCCCAATTACGAGAAAGTGTCAGCTTGAAAGTACAACGCAAAACTTTGTCAACGTCCGATATAAATCGGGTAAATCGAGATCTTCTCGTCAGAGACGAAGCATAAAAATATTTATATTATATCCCCATAACTTGAACGAAGTGAAAAGACTGTCGACTTCGTGATTATAAACTTTGGATCGTAATGAATTAACAGCTGGTATGTCGTTTACAGAACCCGGGAGCTGAAAAATGGCGCCCGATGGCCATCTCGAACCCGTCGACTCGGCTGCGCATGGCCAGGTCCATGCCCCACTGGGTACTGGTACGTAACCCTCTGATCGATCTCGCCCCTCAATCTCGACCTTTCCGACAACCCCGAGTTTACGATCCTTCGCCTTTAAAAGGTGCAACAACAGAAGGAAGCGGAGCAGAAGCAACGCCGACCACCGACCCCACCGAAAGTGCCGCCACCATCGCTCTCCGGAGACTGTGGTGACCCAGACTACGAGATCATCGAATTTCCGACCCGACCGCAAGCACAGAAGTCCTCGACACCGGGCTCGAACGCGTACAAGTGCACCCTCTGCGGCACCGAGAACGTGTTCGCCCGTTGCGACACGTGCAACGGGAATTATTGCGAGGCCTGCGACGACACGAACCACAAGCACCCGAAGAGAAAGAACCACGTACGAAGAAGAATCCTGACGGAGTTAACGACAAAATCCCGACCACCCCTGCCGCCGAAGGGAGAAAACCTCTCGAGCCCACCGCCCATCCCGCCCCCAAGGCGGAACCGCAAGAACGCTCAGGTAGGATGCAACCTGGCCTGAAGCTTTCATCCCTTCCCGTGAATTTTCTTTCAGGCTGACGACGTGTTGTCGACCTTAGGTATCCGTGCGTTTCCTCGAGGCGATCCAGAGTCTGTACCGGTGCTCGCTGCTGTGGATCATCGGGATCAACGGAAACCAAGTTGCGAGGGTCGCGTGTCCCATTCTCTGACAATTTCCACGGCGTTCTCCCGCTTGTTCCTCCGATCACTTTCGTTCTGTTCCAGCGGGATTAGTTGCCCATGAGTCTGTCCACGGGAATCACAGACAGCGTTTCCTCATGGGCTAGTAGATACACGGTGTAGCACTTTTGTTAGCGTAGCGAACAGTCGCAACTTCGTCTCCGGTGACTCGAATCGTTTCTCGATGGATGTTTGTTGTACAAGAATAGATGTTGCTTGTTATTAATCGTTGTTAGCTGTACCACGCTTCGAACGGCGCCAGTCTCGTTGGTTTCTACGAGAGAGAACACGTCACACCGAGGCAACGTGAAGATTGTTAATCGCGCGAGCTTTAAATAGTCGACTAGGAACTGTCCCCCAGATGCACCGAGAGTTTTTATAGAGACTTTACCATTGTATATCTACGTTGTTTCATCTTAATACACCACGTTACCGCAAAAACACCACTGCCGTATTCACTGAACCCGTTCACTCTATCACACTGTCGGCAAAGTAACGGGCGGGAAGAGACGTGCCGGAGCAATTGACAGGAGCTTTGTGCAAACTTGGTTCCGGAATTATCACGCGTGCTTTCTCTCCCAGCGATTAGCACGACGGTGAATATGGCAGAGCACGGTGAACACGGTGATTCGATTCGACCATCATGCACCGTGCTGTATCTCCCGTTACCGTTACTGGTACATCATGTATGTTATGATCATTGTTCGTTAAACCATTCACACGTTCTACACACACACACACACACACAGTTCGTTATTTTCAGCTTGCAGCCAATCGCACCTATCGCCATCCTGTCGCTAACGTAGGACTATAAGAGTCAGATCACGATCACTCGGAATTTGATTTATACGTCACGTTATTCTAGCTGCCAGTGTTCCCGATTCGTCGGGAACGCCGTCGATTTATTTTGTTTTCTACTAACGCTTTGTTTATCATCGATTTAGCCACGCACGTCGCCGCAATTTAATTTTAGCGCTGCAGCCCTCAGCCGCGATCATGCGCCATCCTTTTTCTTTCCAACCTACCTTTTCTCGATCGCCGTTAAAACCAGAGAAACGAGAAAAGAAACGATACATATCCGACGATCACGACGAACACGGCTACGTTTCCAACGATGGCACACTGCACGACCCTGTAATAAAGTTCAGGTTTCGCGCTTAGGCTAAATCGACGCAAAGCCAGGGACCCACGAATCTTTCCTTGATCGAGAGGGTCGGCAGCTTGAAGCGGGCCCTTCCGAACACGACCAGGCCACTGTCAGCCACGCTAGACGCGAAAACTGTGTCAAAATCCATGCAGTCCGTGAATACCACCGCCACCGATGCCACGGGACCTGGGTCTAGCCTCTCAGGCACTGACAAAATGTCCACGCTTCAGGTAAAGTACCCTCTAACTACCCTCGTGGTCATAGAAAACGCTTGATGAACATTTTACACGTTCTTCCATTATTCAACAGCGACGCTCGACTCTTAATGAATAACTCGTGAATTATTCCTCGAATTCCACTTACTATTTCATCGCGACGTTACCCGGTAATCTCGTGGGTTTCTACTATTCATCGAGCATTATGCGATGGGTAATTAATACGTTAAACGTTCGCGTATGTATCGCGCGGGACTTGGTGCAATTTGGCAGTGTGCCTCGATGTATCGCACGACGACATAGGACGTTTAACGAATGTGTAAAATGGCCGGGAGACATGGCAGTTGTTTAACACGCGTACGAATGTCCAGGAGAGGTACAGGAAATATCAGGAAGCTATGAGAGCGCAGGATGCGAACAGGAGGAGGCATACTACATCGGATATTTCGAGAGACCCATTGAATGCTAGGCCGCTGAGTATAGGCAGCCCGAAGCTGACGCCACCGGTACCACCCCCGCCCCCGCCTAGATCTATGATGCAGTCGGCCAGCGTTTGCGATTTATCGTCGCCACACATGTGGAATCCCGGAATGCATCAGGTAACGTTCGTCGAATACGATAAATACCAGAATTGTTCCCGTACCAGACCTTTGCCTTATCTCTATAGACAAGTAGCCACTGGAAGCTTTTCTGGAATGACGTATAAATTAACGTGGCTTCCGTTTCGTTTCGATCCTTCGTGCGTATTGCCACATGGTCGTTATCTTTTATTGGGTAAAGAATATCGTTGAGATATTAAAAATCTAACATAGAACACGTCGAATTGTTTCGTAGGCTCAATCGATGGCTCATCTAGGTCCAGGAGGTATGCCCATAATGTGGTACCCACCTAATTCTCCGTGGGACATGGCCATGGGTGGTTCCACGATGAGTCTCAACCACCCAGCAATGTGGGGCTACCCTCCCATGGGATACCCTCCGTCGCAGATGCTCCCGCCACACTATCCAGGCTCGCTATCTAGGCCACACAGTCCGGCCAGAAGCGTGAAATCGAGCAGGAGATCAAGAGCACCCTCGCCATCGCCTAGTCTGAAGTCCAGGAAATCATTAGCCTCTAGATCACGATCGAGAAGATCGCAAGGTTCGCCTTCCGATGCCAGCTCTGAGGACTCTGGAGAATCAGATTTCGATGACAGGCTGTCTAGAAGCTCTAGACGCGGCAGCGTGTCCAGGAGTGCCAGGCAAAGGAGCTATCACGAAGACGATGGCCCTAGAAGCTTGCTGAGCAGAAACCGTCGCGAGTACGTCGAGTATTTGCTAAATCGACATCGCGAATTTGCAAAAAATATCCCTAAATTTTGTCACGTGACGTTTCAATGTCTTCTTTCAGACGGTTAATGTCGGAAGAGAGGATGACCAGCACAGAGGATCAGTGGTCCGAGGGCCACTCGGTGAAACGGTACCCAGCGCCTCCCAAAGGTTACGACGATTTCCAGAAAAACACGCTAAACGCGAGAAGAAGATACGACCAGGACGAACGCAGGCTTTCCAGGCTGGATTCCCGGCTAGATCGCGTCCAAAATGGCAGCTATCGCCGAAGACGAAGCACCGACGATGAGTCGTCCGACAGAAGATCCACCTTGCAAACTCGATCCAGAGTGACCAGTTCCTCCGACGATCACTTCGAGAGGTCAGAAGTGCTTCCGCGACGAAGGGACGACGAGATGGCAAGAAGAGCCTCCTCTGTGAGAAGGGAAACGAGTTTGGACAACCTCGAAAAATCCTCTCGCAGAGATTCTCGAAAATCCTCCGTAGACAGCGACACTCAGACGAGCAGAAAAACTCCTTCCAGAGACGTGGTCTCTGGCAGAAGTGAGGAGAGGATCGACGATACGCGACCCGTTAGAGACGACGTGAACGACGCGAACGCACGTGCTACCACGAAGAACATACGAAGTCGCGAGTCCTCGCGTGATCGGGAATCAGTCTCGAGGAGGGACTCCTTGACGAGGAGAGAAGCTTCGTCCGAAGAAACGGAGAGGTCCAGCGTGAGACGAATGTCTTCTCGCGATTCTCCTAGCCAGGTTACGAGAAAAACTCCGTCTCGCGAGACAGTTTCCAAGAAAACCCTTGAAAGTGACGATCGAGATGTGTCGCGACCCGCGAGCAAGAGTCAAGAGGAGACTCGAGAAGCCAGACGTCCTATCGAGAACGAGAAACGAGTGGAAGAAGCTCCAGCAAGGAATGCGGAGAACGAACGAATTAAACGTCTAGAGAGACTGCCACCGGTCGGAAGAAAAGAGGAAGAGAAGCGTGGCTCGACCAACGCGGGTCAACAAAAGTCGTCGAAAGATGCGAGCGAGTCGGGTATCAAGATGGAGATTCCAAAAGAGGAATGGGCCTGCGAGCATTGCACTTTTATAAATGACATAAAGGATCGTGTCTGCGTGGTATGTTGCAAAACGAAGAGCAGTGCGCTGCCACCGAGCAACGAAGAGAACGCTGAGGACGTTGCGAGTAGTTCGAGCGAGATGGTCAAGAGAGAGTCAACGACGACATCAGGCAGTGTTACCAACCCTAGCCCAGATCTCGAGAAACGGGCCAGCCTGTTAAAGATTTCGAACAGCGAAGAGAGCGGGGACAGTGGTTCCACAAAGAACAAAGGTAGAGCAAGGCGCAAAATCAGCTTTTCGTTTGGTACCAAGTCGAATAAGTGATTAGAATTATTGTACCTGTGGTCTTTTGAATGTTTCTCCCCCTTCCCGACCCACGCACTCTCTCTCTCTCTCTCTCTCTCTCTCTGTTTTATTTATTTTTCCCCCCTTTTTTTTACGAAACGTGGAAAGAAGAGATGAACAGAATACGATTGCCCCCCTGTCGATGTATACCCTTGGATGAATAATAAAGAGACATGCAATCTGTTTCGTACACGATCAGTGGAAACCAAATGCATAGTCGTATTTGAAATGAAGCCTAGTCTTTCGTTCGTAACCAGCTTTCCTTCGATCATGTCAGATGCAATTATTATTCATTCAAGAGAAGCTAGTTTCAAGCACGGGCGTGCATTTGGCCGATGTTCTTTGCATCCGGAATTTATCGTCGAACCATTTCTCGTTTTCAATCCTGAGAATCTTAACAACAGCCTTGAAACAGTAGGATTAACAAATAAATAATTTGTATTCTTCCCCTGAAGTAAGTTTGCTCCTTGTTACACCTGCCCTAGCAACGAGATATTAACATCCTCCTGTCTTGGAACCACAGTCGAATTAACAAACGGATAATTCATCGTTCTACCCAGTCTCCAAAATTTTCGGTTAAATATACCTGTCCTGTTTGTAATTTTCAATATCCCAATAAAAATCTCGTTCCCTGGGCTGTGGACTTTTATAGATTCGAGGCTGCGAAAGGATTAAGCGAAGCACCTAACAGCCTGCATCGGAATGACGTTTCCCATTAATTTAGGTCTAAGGATCCGAACGTCCACGAGAGTACCGAGCCAACACCCTAAACATGATCTGATTACTTGAATTTCCAGATACCACGACACACGAAGAGAACTCGACGACCTCGACTGCAGTGGTCGCTGAGAGATCGCACGCTGAACCTCCGTCAGCGACAAAGAATATAACGACGTCGATAACCAATGGTGTATCAGAGGCGAGAAACAGTACAAGTACTGCAAACACCGTCGCTCCTTCGAAAGTAAACGAGGAAGATGCGACGAAGCGACCCATGCTCGGGAAAATTCCGAAAAGCCATTCAGTTTCCACCGGAACCTCTCCTCCTCCTCAAAGCATTTCTACTCAAGTAAGGGAAAAATTTAGTTGTATAAAGTAAAGGAAAATAGACCGTTGATACGGGTGAAGGAAGCACGAATGGGAAATGTATCATCGGATATGAAATATGCTTTCCAGACCTACGACTACGTTCCAGCTAGAGGAAGCGCAGGATTCGTAAGAGCTGCATCCGCCTCAAAGGGATTATTGTATTATGAGGACAGCGACGCAGAGGTAAAACGAAAGATTAATACATAGATCTACGAAGTACCTTCCCGTGAAGCGGAAATCTCGTAGGTCAAATATTTCTGATTACTTAAAAACGAATCAGCTCGGCTTTCATCTCCGTTTTATCTGTTTCCAAGCTTGTCAAACTCATTGGTAAGAACGTGTACTTACACTGAAGGATAGTAGAAAGAAACGTGCCAAGCGTCTACTTTGATTTATAATAAAGTATTCGAAGAACACGGTTTCGCAAAATAAAGGATTTAATAAAAAGAAAAGGATGCCGAGCGTTTGTTTCAGGAACAAACCAGGTTCACGAGCAGCCCAGACCTGTACCCGCGAACGATCCAGGAGCAGTATCTTCAGCAGCTGATCAACGGGTCTAGCAGGGATCGTACGCGACGAAACTCCACCGACTCCACCCACCTTTATTACCGTTCCAGGGTAAACTTGACAGCTATCCCTCGAGAAAAGCATTGATTTCTAATCCGATCTAATCTTCAATACAATTTAACACGACTTCGATTGTGCAGTTCTGTAGCCTCGGTGTGAACGTAGGCAGGATTACTACCTTTTACAGCGCCATTTCTACCCATCATTCCAACGAGCATCTATTATTAGAATATTCAACATTAATAAAAGACATGTCTCGCCACCCGAGTTCCACTGTGCGACTGTGTGATATTAATCATAAACAAATTTCATACGTGTTCTAGAGCGTCATAGACTAGCCTTAATAATAGCCTTAAGCCTGTAACATTGTCGATTCTCCATCTCGCTGTACAGAAGGTGCATCCTACGACGATGAGACCTTTCTTCTAGATGTCTTTAGCGTGTGCACGCGTCCTCGGCCAATTTTGACCATCGTCAATCGAATTATCTTGCCTGTTCCAGGAATCGAGCCAGCCCAGATTCATCGAGACCGGTGCTAGCTCGCAGGGAGTGTCAACGTTGACGAGACAGGGCTTGGAAATTGTGGAGCTGCTGAGAGAGGCTGAAAAACACGGTTATTCCACCGATGACGTACAAGTGGCTTTGTCGCAGGGTGCCAGCAACCCCATAGACTGGTTGAAGACGCAGTGGCCCCATTTGGTGGAAACTGTGCAAGTCCTAGTTACCACTCAGGGAAAAGAGCTGAAGGAGAACAGTATCGGGGTGCTTTCTGCCGTGGAAGCGAAGGAGGCCTTGAGAGCAACGAAGGGGGATGTTTGGAACGCTGTCGCGATGGCTATTCAGCGTAGACAGCTAAAGGTGAGAATTGGACGTTCTGGTGCGTTTCGTTGATGAGAGAAATTAAACGACGATTCGTCAGTGCGAGGAAATCATGAAGAAAGGCAACTTCGCGATGGCGGAAGTGGTGAAAGCGCTGGAAAATAACACCGGCGCCGAGGACGCGGCTTTGTTCGAGCTGCAAAAGAATCAGCTCAAGCCGTTCTTAATGAGGATCTGGGGTCCTCCGGTTGGGGTGGAAAATGACGAGGCTGCACCGCGGGAAGGTCAGCGAATGTTCATTATTATTTATCTTCATAAAGTATGGAATGCTCGAGTATTTCCTTCTTAGCTTGGCTTCTTGAAGAATAATTACTTTTGATAAAGTCTTAAATGTAGGATTGGAATGAGTACGGCCTTGAAGGAGCGTCGGAAATGTTTGGACTTACAATTAGAACAAAGGTGACCATACGCAAGGGGATCGAATGGATGCCAGATATGACAGAGCCGAATGCGATAGACGAATGGAAATTTATGAGTGCAACACGTGTTTGAAGTACCTGACCCACCAATATTGCCGAAAAAGGGGCATGATTGGGAAGGAAAGCCTGACTGTGAAAAAAGGACAGAATGAATGGTTTAAATAAGGGTGCAAGAACGTGGGCGAGTGAGTCAAAGAAAGTGTGTAAAAGTCTAAGAATAATGGTTTAGAAAGACAGTCCATCAGTTGCAGTCTATTAGTTACAGTTTTGAAAGTCAATTTTAAGAAAGATCAGAAGAGTGTGCTCATAGCGAATCTCTTTCTTGTTTCACAGCTAGCCGCTGTCATTCTACTTATAAGTTTATTTTATTCTATTAAGAAGCCAACAATACTATCTTAACCCTTTGCACTCTCAGTCGCCATTTAATCAAATTTTAAACATCGATGTTAATCAATTTATCTAATTTAAAATTACCCAACGATGCGTGAAATGTCGAAGTAAAATAATTTTACGCCTTAATTTGCATACGATTTTACTGTTTTAAAAATATCGTCGATTTTATGGCAGAAAGTTTCCGAATTACTATCTTTCTGTAACGAAAAAATCGTCGAGTACAAAGGGTTCTTAAATTCACACAAATACGATCCTACATAAATAATAAGTTATCATATCTCAGTGATGTTTTTCACCCTACGAATCATCGAGTTGACACATTCTTCACCGAAGTAACAGTTTCATTCCTGACTATTGGCTCACGATCATCGAGTAAAATCGTTTCAGATGCGGCAGGTGCGGTCGGTGGTGAAACGGGTGGTTCCGAACAGGTTATCAACGTGTCGGACTCGGAAGCCAGGAAGCAGGTAATGTCACCAATCGTTGAAAATTTCGTCGCGTTGCAGGCCGACTTTCAAAAGCAACTGGCAGCCCTCAGACAACTGACCGATAACTGGCAACATGACAAAGACCCCCTGAACACGCTCGGTAATAAGCCTGATAATCTGTATCAAGTTAACACTGACGATCGAACCGTTCTAATCGATAAAAATCTGGTCCCAAGGGCCGTACAAGACCTCGATGTAGCCAACACTGTTAAAACACTGGAGAACGAGGAACCGAATCGAACCATCGAAGATGAAACGAAATCGTTAATCGCTAACACTACCGACACGCCTGTCGTAACCGAGAAACCAGACCAAGACGCTAATCCCACTCTGAAACTAATCGAAAATTCGCAGATATCGAACCAGAATCTAAATAACGCAACAGTGACAAACATTTCAGCCATCGACGAGAATAAACAAATTCGATGGAACGAGATTGAATCGGAAACGTCTGATAAGACCGTCTCACCTACTGCAACAACAGACCACGGCCCGAACGTCAGTCCTATGATAAATCTAGCCGAGAAAGTGGCTCCGAGCCGGCCAGAAAATTCTTCAAACGAGAGTCGAATCGCTCAAACAGAGGTGATTTCGGTCTCCGATAAAGACAGGAGAGAAAAGCGAGACGCGGAGGATTTAAGTAATGAAGGAACCGGTATCTCGTCTTCCAGTGTTGAGAAAGCGTCATCCCATAGAATAGAACCAGAAACGAACGATGTAAGCAGATCGAAAGAGAATATAAAGCAAACGGCGAAGATGAGTTTAGAAGTAGCCGAGGCAAAGGACGAGGGAGCAGCTGGCTCGCGCAGCGAAGAAAACGAAACGACGTCCCAAAAGAGCCGGGATCCCGGGCAAAGCAGCGTAGAGGTAGATAAAGCTTCCTCGTCGCGCACGGAGAAAAACGGAACGCCGTCCCAAAAGGCTTCTGATCCTCATCAAAGGCCGGTGCAAGTAGATAAAGATTCCCCTTTAGTCGAAAGCCCGAGTATCCCTTTGCGATCTAACGTATTGGACCACAGTTTACCGCAAAGTGTATCAGGGATGTCCGACGAATTGACTCAAGGTCCACGGCAAACCGGTGGAATCGAACGACCCGAGTTAATAAACCAGAAAGTGGAACAAGGCGAAGAGTCGCGTCAGAGGCCAACTGCTGCAGAATTAATTAACACGCTGGAAAATTCATCTGTTACCCAGGATATCGTGGTTCCAGAGGATACCGACGAGGGCAAAGGAAGAAAAGAAACGGGACCATGCGTGAAATTAAGTCCTCCAGAGAGAGCTACGAAGGAGGAATCGGCAAACGTTATCGAGGCATCGCCATCGCCGATAATTCCGAGCGAAACCGATTCGAAGGATCGAAATTTCGAAAACGTAACGACGGAAGCTCCGAAGAAAGGCAACGAGACGCAAGTAGCCACGATGGAGGCACTGCTATCTGCCGTGAAATCGTTGCCGGAACAATTGCTGGGTCCTTTCATGTCGGCAATGCAGATGCTGTCGTCGAAGAAGTCGAATAGCGACGTTGATCGGCTGAACGTCATCAACGCCGTGGCCAAGGAACAGAATTCTCTGCCTCTTGGAGCCTCCGACGAGACCGGGTCCGGTACAAATGAGAATGCACCACCGGGAAGCGTCGAAAATGGCGGGACGCTCGTACCGGAAGCTGCGGAAACCGGAACGGCCGCGGCAGACATCAAAACGCTGCAAGAGCTCGAAACGGTACGTAAAAACGAAAAGAACGATAGCGTTAGGGGAAGCTTGGTAGAAGGGGGGACAATGGAGAGAAAATTGAACGGGAGTCCGGTCCCGGAAGTCGCAGGGTCAACGTTGCAGAGCGGCGAGAGAACAGAGACAGCGGTGGCAGAAGTAAGTTCTGAAAAATGTTCCGCGGAAGTCGCAGCTGACGATACTAACTGTAATGAAAGAGCATCCGATTTCGAACAGTCACGACGCACAATCGGTGAAGCTTCAGACGTCGATTCGAAGACATCGTCGTTAGAAATCGATTCATCCGATCGTAATCACCCCGCGGCGAATACCGAAATTCATACACTCAACGACCCATCCGTCCATGAACGATCATCATCAAAGGAAGCAGGCAACTCTTCCGTGAACGACATCAAAGATTCTCCACCTAACAAAGCATCTTTGAACGACGAATCGCTCGCTCGCGATAGCCCGGTGAGATCCAACGAGACCATGGGCGCACAATCATTATCGAACGAGACGTCATCCTCGTTGATACGTGACTCGGGAACGTCTATCCGTGAATCATCCTACATGCAAATCAGCTCGTCTACGACCGGGACTGGAGCCAGCGACGATAACCGTGTGAAATTAATTGATGCTAGTTTGCTACCTGACAATGGACGTTCTGCGGAGAATGCGGCCATTTTGGATAGCAAATCGCGCGATAATAATCTCGCTGAGTCGCTCGTGACCCAGTCCCTAGCTTCCGAGTTTCGTAACCTTCGGGAAAATTGCAATCTTGTAAATTCTAACGACTCCGCGGTCGAAGCTTTGGAAAATTCCCAATTCGATCCGCAGAAAATTTCTGAGGGTTCGTATAATCCTGTCAGAGACGTTCGCGAGGGTTCTAATAAGGCTAGCCACGCGGTTTCACCCGAGAGAAAAATCTCAGAAGACTCCGAGCTTGCTCGAGACGAAGTTTCTAAAGCTACTGGTGGATCCGCTATTCGAGATTCTTCGACAGAGCCTGAAATAGCTCAGGAAATTTCTGTGGATCCACGGATCGTTGTAACCCCCACGGATTCCAAAATCAATGAAATTTCCACGAGTCCCGAATACGCGATTCCCGAAATTTCCATCGATCACGATATAATCGCGTATGAAGCATTGGAAAGCTCTGAAACTTCTATTCTAGAAGTTCCCGAGAGTTTTAAGGACGTTCCCGATATTCCGGCAGACTGCGGAGCTATAGTCTCTGAAATTTCAGGCGATTCTAAGTCCGTTCCGAGCGAAATATCCGAAGCTTCCAATATTCTTGCTCAAAAGACTTCGGCAGATCTTAAAACCGTCGATCGCGAAGCTTTCTCGGATTCCAAAATCGTTATCCCCGAAGCTTCAGAGGATTCCAAAGCTATTCCACGTGTCGTTCCCGTGGAACCCGATACTAATATTCGCGGATTACTCGAAGAGTCCAAGATGCCAGAGATTTCTAACAAACCCGCCACGATTGCCCGCGAAAGTTCCAAAAATGCCTTGCATATGTCTGAAAAAGTAGAGCAGCCTATCTCTGTCTTATGTCACATTCCCCGGAACGAGGAAATCGATACTTCGGCGATAACTCCTGCGAGTATGTTTGTCGATTCGATAAAAGCTCCGGAGCAAATTAATATTCGATCTGAACCGGAGAAGGAGTCCGAAACAACGATCGATGTAACGAAAAACGTGTCTCTGACGGAAATAAAAGACGACACGCCTCTAATAGCCGCACCGAACGATCCGAATAAATCGGTAGAAGCAACCGATTCGAGGAAGGATTCGGAGACGGGAAAGAACGACGAAGGCATTTCATCCGTGCCTTCGACCCCGATATCGAGCAACCTCGACGCAAATAAAGCTTCTGAAGCACTCGCGAATACCGAATCGGCAATTGTAACTATCTCGAGTGACCCTCGTATTTCCGGTCCCTCGTTCGACTCGCATACTTTGAACACCGAATCCGCCGTTAACAAGCTAAATTCTCAGGATACTAACGGCATTCCGGGGAGTCTCGTTGCTCCTAATAACGTTGCCGATATGTCGCATAATGCATCAAACTCGAGCGAAGAAAGTAGCGCCGAATCGAATCTGACCAGCACGAATCCCGAAACTTATTTCGTCGCTGACGTGCCTGGAAACCTGAACGAATCTTCCGCTGCGATTTCCTGCCACCACGAAACTATCCCGATGGATTCGAACAATAACGCGCCCCGTTTAGAGCCCGCTGTCACCATTGATATCCAAGAGAATGAAAACACGACGGAAAACGCTGCATTATTCGCTCCTTCTGACCCATCGTCGATTAAACGTCTCTCCGTGAACGTATCCAAAGTGATCGACTCGAGTATCGATCATAAGAGCCAAGAAATCGCTTGTCCCATCCCAGACGCTGTCAACGATGTCCCACCGGGTGTGCCAGAAATTATAGAGATTAAAATCACCGAATCACCCATGATAGCGGTGAACGATTGTGCGCCAATAAAGGTCCTAGAAAGCCTATCCGAGAAGGAAGCGAAACCGATGGAGAACGTGGAATCGGTAAAGTTGCAAACAGAAAGCGCGAGCGTAACGCGCGAGATCGTGACGATTTCGGGAGAAAGCGCGGTGGACGTCGAAAATAATGAAGTAGATGCAAATGAAGCTGATAAGATGGTTACGAGTAAGGAGAGATCCAAATCTCCTGCCAAAAAGGTCGGCAGAAGGAGGTCTCCCGTGAAAGTTGTCAAAAAGCCTACCGGCATACCGAGAAGGAATTTTGGAAAAGTCAGCCCGAGGGGCTCGTCGATAGCAAAGGCGAAGGAAGTGGCGGCTGAAATAACTCGCAGATCGTTCCTCGCTAGTCAAACTTCGAGAAAGAGCCCGGTGAAAACGGTAACGAAAATCGCGAAGAACGTCTCGACGAATGGCACGGTGAACAAGACGAAACCTTTGATCAGCGTGAAGCAGAAGCAAATTTCGAAGAATTCTAAACCGACTGGGACGAAGGCGGTCTCCGAGAAGAGGACGATTTTCAGCACGCTGTCAAAAGGCTGCGAGCAGATCAGGAAATCAATTATACCTACCCTGGCGAGCGAGAGAAGTCGCGAAAAGGTGGCTGAAAAATGTGAAAAAGGGAACACCGTGACGAAGAAACCTTCGTTCCTTTCGAGGATCCCCGTGTTCACGGCGAGACGACGATTCTCTCAACAGGCACCTAAAAGTTCGCAGCAATCTTCCAAAGCAACATCCGGTGACGGGTTAACTAGCACCTCGGCGAGACCATCGATTACCCAACAGGCAGCGGGAAAAAGCAGCTCGACCGGAAATGCCGCGAAGATTGGCGCAGGGCAAAAAGTCCAGTCGGATAAAGTCGACAGAAATTTAAATGGCAGAAAGAGCGTGATTGTAAAAACCGAAGTTCCACGATCGGGGAGTTCCGGGTGCAAGAGAAACACGAACGAGAAAACGAGAACTGTATCGAGGAAAAATGACGGCGAAGCAGACGTGGTCGAGTCCAAGAGAGATCCACTGGTATTCGAGGAATTGGATTTAAACGATACGACTTCCAGCGAGGAGTACGAGGAGGAAGTTACGGATAACGATACATCCACTTCCGACTTGGAGAGCGCCACGGAGTCTGAGATATCGAGCTCGGAGAAGCAGCTCTCGGATCGTACCTTGGACAGCATGGAGGAGCTAACCGATGCCGAGATTATGCTGCAAGAAACGATTAACGCGATAAAGGCGAAGATATCCGAATCCGAGTACGAGGATTCGGAGGATGAATACGTTACTGACAACGAGAGCCAAGAAGACACGAACTCGGATGAAACACGCGTGGATGAGAGAGACGCTTCGTTGAAGGATGAAAACTTGGTTGACAGAGATTTGAGAGACACGACGTCCGAAGAAGACGAAACTCTGAGAGACGATAACGTTGATCTGAAAGACCAACAAAGGGACCAATCAACGACCGAGGACATGTCCAAGAATGGTACCATTTCTGACGCTTATTCCAACGAGAGACCTGTCAAACGATTGCCATCGGTACCATCAAAGAACGGTATAGGCGCGTTTAGAGATAAGTCTAACAAATCGAAAGGTAAACTCGAAACGAACGATAATTCCGCGAGGAAAGATGAGAACAGGACAGATACTAAGACCGAGACAGCGAAAGCTAGACGCACGAGCGACAAACGAACGAAAGCGAGTCGCAGAGCGAGCACGGGCTGTGACAGAGGGGTAGATCAGGGAGTAACGTCAAAGAAACGATTCTCCTTGGTGGCCAGTTGTATCCGTCGGTTCGAGGGTGAAGAAAAAACTGAACGGGAATACGTGGATAGTAGGAGCGGCAACTCGAAGACAGGGGTATCTCCCAAAACGGAGAGGGAGGTCAGTAGACGTCAGTTGTCAGAATCACTTGCCGACTTTGTCGGGTCCTTGCTGCTGAGCAGGCCAATGTCTACAAACAGCTCTACCTACGTGTCAAGAGATAGAGATAGAGATAAAAGACGAGACACGGGAAGAAAAATGAGATATCTGGCAGTATCCTGTCAAAGTTTTAACCCTGTTTTGACATTTTGTAGATTTTAAGCGCACTTTTTTTTTTCTCTCGCTAGAGTTGGCTCCCTGTTTCCGCGAGGTAAGTACTCCTCTTGTTTCTCGTCGTGACTAATGTCGTTGTTCTATAGCATGACGCTTTGTTCCGCGTTGCCCGTTGGTGTTTAAATTAAAAAGTAACCGCGGTGTACAAGCGGAAGCGTACTCGAGGTTTGTATGCGCTCCGCGAAGAAAGCACGCGGCAAGTTTAATCCAATATCGTGGAACACGACTTTTCCATCGTCCAATTTGTTGGGTGCTTCTGGGTCTTATAGTAATTTAAACGCGCGCAAATAACACGTTCAACCATCGTTTCGTTTCGTTTCGTTTGATTTTCGAGGAACAAAAGGACCTCGGATCATCTACGAGCATCTATTAACTTTAAGAACCCATTCTGCATTCTTCGACATCGCTCACTGACGTATTAATCTTCCATAATATCACTTACAGCTTGTTCATAACGAGTAAACACGATATTAATATTCCATTCACGGATCGATCGATGTTATCTTAAAAATTTCGAGAGCTCGTTTCTAGACGTTGGTGTAGTCTCTATCTATCGCATCTTTGCATGTCATTGTTCTCGTATCATCCTGTGCGTCAATTTCTATCCTGTCACTTGGACATTCCAGTTTCGACATTGCTCTTAATTTCGTATTCAAATTACAACGATGATACCGTAGCCATTATACGTCGACGTATACGCCAGCTCGAACGATGAAGGATCGAAATTACGATACGAATTTGGTTGAACTTGCAGAGAATTGCTCGTCGTCTCTTGGCAGAAGGTAAAGCATCGAATTACGACGAAGCGGAAGTGGCCGCGAGTCTGCTGGCCCTAAAGTTCGGGGATGTCGAGGCTCTTCACGCTGCCAAAGAGTGTTCCAGCGTGGAATCGGCGTTGGCTTTCTTGCAGCAGGGATGCGAACTCTGCACCGGTCGTTTTGCGATGAGCCAGGTACAAAGTAAATAATGCTCGAGGTTTCGTTGAAGTTTCCATCGTAAATTTCATTTCCAGATAGTGTCCATGTTGAAATGCGTGCACCGGTGCTGCAACGATTGCGCGAAGAATTACTTCACCATCCAGATCAGCGACAGGAATATCACCGATGCAGTTTGTCCATTTTGCAAAGAGCCAAATCTAAAGGATGCCAACGAGGACGAGGTTCTGGAATATTTCAGCAACCTGGACATACAACTGAAGACACTTCTGGACCCCCCGATTCACGAGCTGTTTCAAAGGAAGCTGCGAGATAGGACGTTGATGCAAGATCCAAATTTTAAGTGGTGTATTCAGGTGTTTCTCTTGTACAGATTATTCGATTCTCTTTAGTCGGAAGGGGAACGTAACGCGTATTGTTTTCAGTGTTCGAGCGGATTTTACGCGGATCCAGATCAGAAAAGATTAATCTGCCCCGACTGTCGGTCGGTGACGTGTGCCCAGTGTCGAAGACCGGTACGTGCAGATGTTATTAATTGCACGAAAATTAAACGGAAGTTACGTAAGCGCGGGCAAACATCCACTCTGACGGTGGTTTCACTTTCAGTGGGAGAAACAGCACGAAGGAATTACGTGCGAGCAATTTGCTGCTTGGAAAGACGAGAATGACCCGGATAATCAGGCCGCTGGCTTAGCCAAGCATCTCGCTGATAACGGGATAGATTGTCCTAAATGCAAATTTCGTTACTCCTTGTCCAGAGGAGGTAAGGTACTCGAGGAAAATTTAATCAGTCGAATTGTAACGAATTTTGCTTGAAATCCCGAGACTCGTGTGAAGGTGCGACATCGATCTTTGACAGAGTTTTGCGCAACTCTAACCGATGCCATAAAACTCGGATCGAACTTGAGCTCGAGTAGCCAATTACTTTTGAAGAAAGAGATATTTTCTAGTAAGATTAATACGTGTTCGCAGGTTGTATGCATTTCACTTGCAGTCAGTGCAAGTACGAGTTTTGTTGCGGTTGCGGCAAAGCGTTCATGATGGGTGCAAAATGTTTGGTCAGCCCCTATTGCGCGAAGCTGGGCCTGCACGCTCATCATCCGCGAAACTGTCTGTTTTATCTACGCGATAAGGAGCCCGCGCAGTTGCAGCAGCTGTTAAAAGATAATGGAATCGACTACGACACACAGGGTCCGGCCGGCGAGCGCAAGTGCAAAGTGCAGTTGCAGAAAGAAACTCCCACCGGTGTTGTGGACGCAGTGTGCAATTCGGATGTCATTGAGGGACACGCTGGTTTGTGCAGGTAATTCGTTTGTTCCCGTGTAACTTTGCATGCGCTCGCCGTTATTACAACCATTCTTATAATTGAACACCATCCTCGTTGAAAGCAGAGTACCGTTACAGAAAGAATCCGTAGGGTACAAGTATAAAGAAACGTATAAAAGCTAATAGGAAGATAAGGATATCACTCACTACTTGTCCGGTATAAATGATAAAAAAGGAAGGTAGGATACTTCGTTAAAGACCAGTTCTCCACTTGATCAATCGTAGAAAGTAATACTTTTGACATCTTCAGGATCACTGATCTCCTCGCTAATCGCTAGTCGTATATTCGCGTTATCGTTGCCTCGTTAAATGCTGAACAAAAGAAAACATACATACGCGCATACATACATGTAAATAGGGAAACGATTAGAAAAGAATGTGATAAAAATAGGAGAAAATATATAAATGGTACCTCGCTATAATTTTAACATATCCTTCGAATATTCAGGATCCACTATATCGAGTACCTAGTTCGAAAAATTCGGAAGACCCAGCTGGAACCACTTCCGTTGCTAAATGTAGACGATCTCGAGACTTGCGTGAGACGTGCAGGGGTGAAGTTGCCCCCGAATTGGTACGGTCGTGATCCGGATCATTACAGGAGAGACTTGACCGAGGTAAACGAAGAGGCATCGTGCATGGCACGACTAAATTCTGGGTACTTTTCCCCGCAGGCAGCACTACATTGAGTACTTGGCGGGTCTGATACTGAAGGACAAGCTGGATCCCGTGGCGATCTTTGACTTGAACGACGCCAAGCAAGAGCTGCGCCGTCGGGGAAAAGTTCCCCCTGCGAAGGACCAGGAAATGTCCGAGCGGGATTATCTCGAGGCGTGCATTCAGGTGACTAACAACTCCTCTCCTGCACTCCTGCCCCGACACACTGACCGAATTAACAAGAAATGCACGAAAGTAGACCTTCACGTATGACTTTCGCAAGCAAAAAGTGCAGCGCGACATGCACGTTGTCGAAAAATAGATATCTGTAATTATAGACAAGAGTTCCGTTTTTTCCCTCGTATATTTGTTAATCTTATACAATAGAATGAATAGTAATCTTTGTATACCGTTAGAACGATCTCATTTGCGACATCTAATAACGTGAATGTAACGTCTGGATGTTTTACAGGTTGTACGGAAGGAGATTCCACTGGAGTAATAGAAGGAGAATAATTAATGTGCGACTTTATGTGACTCACGTTTTTGATGCATCATGTATAGTGTATTTATTTTATTATGTGGACAGCGATGTAGAGAACAATTTACGATTAAAGTAAACGAAGATTGAATGTTGTTTAGTATTTAATGTACAAAAATAATCAGTCTTTTAGAATTAGACTTCACAGCTAAATATCTGCTTTTTGTTTTTTTGTAAACAAAGCGTAACAAATGTTTTTTATGTAATAAACGAGAATTAGCGTTTATAGGAAATTTTATAAGATTTTAACAATAAATTAATTTTTAACAAAGTTCTGTCAGAAAACTATGTAAACTCCTTCTTCTTGGAGGTGCTGCACCTTTATTCACAATGTCTTTCAATCGATTTACATTTAACTTTTTCAACTTCTGAGTTGGTGTCTTAAAGTTTGTAGTGTTTCCCACTTTTTTTATCTTCATTTCTGTCGATTTTTCAGTAATATCTTTTGCATTCAAGCTTGAAATTCCAGAAACATTTAAACCAGCAGTTTTATCCTTGCTTTTCTTCTTCCTTCGTCTTTTCAAGCTTTGTATACTTTCTGTGCTAGCTTTTTTTGCCTTTTCTCTTTTAGGCTTATTAAAGTATATTTTTGTATTTTTTTTACACACTGAACATTTAAGTACTAATTTGTTCATTTCATTTTTTAAACATTTTTTTACTAAACTTCTTTGAATTTTGGGTATTCTTTTCTCACTGTCATTCATAATGCGTATAATTTTTTTAATAGATTTAGAAAGTGGTTTACCTTGTGATATTCGAATGGTATAATCCATTGTATTCCAAAGTGATCCACAATAAGAACACATCACCGAGGGACCAAAATTTTGAGATGGAAGTATTCCGTGACTAAACTTTTTACATTTTTCTCTAAGGTACAATAATATTAATATTTAATATGTATTCAATTATTTATTTACTTAAAAATACATGTGTGATTCATAACTACATGCAAATGAACAAATAAAATATAGCTTACATGTAAAACGGTTGCAAAATCGTACTTTGTGAACAATTTAATTTTGTAATAAATTGATTCACGTTCCATAAATGCGTCATTCTTTCCATATTTCTTATTTACACACGCACAAAATAAAATATTTTAAAGATCGAGTAACACTTCATTCATAATACCATGAAACGTTCAAGTAAACATTTACTTGGTATATAGATGATATATCCGACAGTCATATACTTCCCCTTTAATGATAAGTGATACGTACAAACTTTTGAAAAGCCTTATAAACGTGAGAAATATGTATTGGCGAACAAAACTGATTAGTTGTGTTAAAGTGTGTCAGTATAATGGATGATAAAAGCAGTATTACGCCTCGTAAACAGATTACGCTAGTATTCCGAAAAATCCTCGATTTTTACGATATCATTACGAATTAATAGTAATCTTTGTTGTCGTTAGAAAAGTAAAAAAAAAAAAAAATAACCTCCAAATACCATCACATTAAAGACGTCACTATTATTGAGTACAGGGTAGCCAACGTGTGAAAATGTTGAAATGTGTATAGAATTCCTAAACTAATCCATTAAAGTTCTGTGATATAATAACAGTGTGCATATCCATACCAAAGACCAGTTTCTGTTCTACAAACGGACAAAACCACGGAGGGTGTTAGAAAAATTTGTATTTTGTCATCCTTGTCATCCAAGCACCGGGACTACTGTCAAACGATAACTGAAATACATTGAAATCATTAAGGGTTAAATTGATAAATCGACATGGAAGAAGAAAAAAAGGGGGAGCGACAACCATTATTAAAAGACGAAAATGTCTATTTTAAATCATATAGCAGCGATTATGGCACGGCAGTAGGTAAATAACATTTGATCTTGATCATGGAAGAATTACAGTTGTTTAATTCTATTGTTTACTATTACTTATTATGTACCACTATAGATGAAGCAGAATCAACTGTCAGTACAATAGGCCCTAATGATTTACCACCTCCATACGAAACAAGCAGTCAATATGACTTGCCTAAGGTTACTTGCAGAGTTTGTCAAGCTATGATAGATATTTCTACTAAAAGAGATCAACATGTTGTCAAATGTTCCCAGTGCAATGAAGCTACGGTTAGTTTTCAAAGTAATTCAATATATTCTGAAACTGCATATTAAAAATGAAAGTATTAATTTCTTTTTTAGCCAATACGAAGTGCACCATCTGGAAAGAAATATGTCCGTTGTCCATGTAATTGTTTACTAATATGTAAGAATTCTTCACAACGTATTGCTTGTCCAAGACCAAACTGTAAACGTATTATTAATCTTGCTCCAAGTCCAATTACACCACCTGTTTTATCTATGCCTGGAATGTGTAGGGTAGGCTGTGCTCACTGTCATGACACATTTTTGGTAAGAATTTGAATAAAAAATGTCTTATTTAAGTTTTTCATTACATATAATGTATATGTTATTAAATCTTCTAGTTTAATACCTTGAATAATGCTTTGGCTCGATGTCCACATTGCCGAAAAATATCTTCTGTTGGTCCAGATTTTGCTAGGGGTCGAGGTATTGCATTCATTATTGTTGGAATAATACTCTTAGTGATTGCAATAGTTGTAACTGTAAGTACTTTTATAATATTTAATATACTATAACAAAAATTTAAGATAATTTAGACATATTTTATACATATTATAATGGGTACAACTTAATACACAGGTTGAGACGCATACATATGTGAAAGCTGCTGGAATTTATGTAGTTTATGTTGGTAAGTATAATAAAATCTCTTTAATTCGATCTATCAATTGAATATGTAAATTTTTTGAATGTCAACATTAATTTACATATTATTTAAGTAATAGTCTATTCTTTTTACCAAGTCCTCTTTTTTAATTTTATTTTCAGGAGCATTTCTCTTGGCACTTTTTTGCTTGGGACGTAGCATTTATTATTGTACAATGAAAATTAGTATGATAGAAGGTCCTATGTAATACCCTAAGTGACAATCAATTGCTGATATTTTAAAACCAATTCCTCTAACATCTATGTCGTATAATAATATATTTAGATCAAATGTTTATAGTAATAAAATGACATACAAGTCCTTCTAGGACAATATTTGGTAGATGTATACATTCTTACATGTGCATATGTAAGTTTATATTGCTAATAATGTGCAACAGTCTTACACATACATATGCAATTGTACATGTTACAAACAAAGAGAATGTGTAGCTAATGTATGACACTTTCTCACATAAGGTAATATATACTAAGAAAAATATACAAAAAGTACTAAGAAAAGATGGGGGTGTCCATTTTGAAGACAAAGGATTGTTCCTCTGCACTTTTATATGTACAAGCACAGGACCAATACAACAACCCCATTATATTGTTTTCATATTTGAATGAAGATATACTATATATGCTTTCTACATCTACAGTAAATATACAAAATGCACATAGATATATACGCAAATAAAACATTCTTGCATGAACATTATTCCAATTGTAAACAGCTATAAATACAGCTACATATATTGTGTTTGCAATTACACACTTGCATTGTCGTATAAATATCTTTTTAAAAAAATACAAATCGATATCATTTAACTGGCATTTCTGGATTCATGTATTATTTGACATGCAAGTAAAAATGATAAAAAATACATATATTGAACGCTACTATCTATTTTATTACCATTGTCGAGTAGCCTAAATTATTAAATTATTTTTCTGTTCTACTATAATATCATTCCTGAGAATGCATTTCTACTTAAATTTCAACTATTATTTAGTTATAAACATTTGAATTGTAATTTTCATGCGTCATATATCGAACAAAAATAATTTAAAACTACAAACTGTAATTTTATAAATAACTCAACATGTACATTTATACAACAATGTACATTTCTAAAACACGAAAGAACGTAAGTATACAAAATATGTAATATCGCTAAATTAATTGATTTATTACTTAAGAGAGGAACAATGATTCATTACTTCCGCTTTGTGTGATTTTTATTCAGAAAATTATTTATATAATATTACATGCATCATATAATTTTTATAATCTTCAAAATATTATTTAAAGTTTAAACTTAATTCTTTGACAATAAATAATAATTATTACGAACTACAAAATTTTAGTTTTATTCCTTATTGCAAACTCTTCGTAAGCTTTTAACCTGATTTTCTAGTAACTTTACACATAGTGATATATACATGTCATGTACGTATGCGAAACGCCGTTTGCCGCCAAAATCCAGCATGATCATACCAATAAAAAAGTATTATTGTATTAAAATTTCGATAAATATTGATAAAGTTTGTACGTGATACAAATAACAAATGTTTTATTATCTTATAGAAATGGTGAACTTGAAGAATGGGCAATTGTTGAGTTGCAAGGGGATTTAAAATTTGATTCTGCGGATATCACGAATAAGTATATCGGAGACTTACATTTTTCAAAATCTGGTGTACCTATATTTATAATTGGCATTCATGTTCTTCATGGAAAAGAAATGGTACTGCCAAAACCATTAGCGGTCTTAGTTAAAAAACATAATGAAGAAGCCAATACAACTAATTCTGAGATAAAAACGGAATACGTTATTAAAGCAATTGTAAAAAAGAAATTACTTTTTAGATTGAGACCAAAACCTATTGTAACAAATGTTCCAAAGCCTAAGATTATATAAAAATACTATACCTTGATGATATAATTTTGCTATACTATGCTAATGAAATAAATTATTATTATGTAAATATATTATTAATAAATAAATTCACATAGACTAGAAAAAACATGATTTTTATTTCCTTAGTTCATTCTTTTTTTTTTTTTTCTTATTCTATTATTATCTTATTTCAAAACAAAAACCGTTATCCTAAAATAATATGTACTTAAAAAATCTAGTCTTTCATTTCTCCCTCTTCATCTTCTTCTTCTACACCTCTTATGTACATTACATTATTACATCTTATTAAAACTTCGCCAAGATTGCCAGTACAAGTTCCATCTATATGTTCCTCTGTATTAGCTAATTGTAGATTCATATATCCATCAACAGAGACAAGATAACCTTTGTATTCATGGCCCCATTTTAATTTTACCATAACTGGTTTACCAGTTAAACCATTTAAAAATGGTTTTGGATTTATTGGCATGGTCGCAGCCATTATGTTATATTTTTCTTTAATTTCTACAACAAAACAATACGTACTGTCATACAAATATTTTACATATACACAATAATAATTATTCATAATTTAAGTAAATTATAACTTGAATAGAGATACCTATTAAAAATAAAACTGGATGAAATATTATTTGACAAATATTATATTCAATGTTAAGGTTAATCCTATATATGTAAATATTGGAAAAATTATAAATTTTTATTTTATACATCATGTAATTATAAAATTATTTATTATTCATAACAAGAAATTTGTACTTACATATTTGAAAGATAATAATAAAAAGAAGAAATTTTATTCCCTTGCAGACTCGTGTGAACATATACTGCTTATATCTGAAGTGATCTGCACTTGGTTAGAAATAAATGTTACTATTGAAAAATAACCTAAACTTGTCAAAACGCCCGTCATACAACTTTCGAAGTATTTTTATTTAAGAAAAGAGATATTATTAGTTTTTAAATTATTTATACAAATTTATACACATTTAACACAATTTTATTAATATAATTAAACGATTGAAATTATAAAGGTATTCAGTTTAATTTTAATCATAACAAAAGATTTGTGTCCCTTGTAAGGAGGAATTGTATTTCATGAAAAATGAATATTTTACCAAAGAAAAGGTATAAACCAAAAATAATTCTTATATGATAACGTTGACAGATATTTTCTAGATACATAAAATACTTTTTAAATTATTTGTTTTAGGTGGCATGTACGTACTAAGGAAAATATTGCTCGTGTACGACGAGATGAAGCAAACGCTGCAAAAGAAGAAAGAATCAAACAAGAACGAATTCAAAAGGCGGTAAGTGTAAATGATAATAACAAAAGCTAATTGTTTATTAATTATATAATCAATGAAGTATTTAACATTTCTTTAGGAAACTGAAGCTAGAATTAATTACCTTCGAGACAAAGCCAGGGAAAAATATGATGGACGAATAGAGACATTAAAAACTGAAACAGATGCCTCTTCTTCAAAATGGGATCATGTTAATTTCTTTGCAGAACTTGAACAAGGAAAACTTGATTATAATAAACCCAATGTAGAACATGAAAAGGAAAAAAAAGAAGAAAGAGAAAAATATGAAAAAAAAATTGGCTATCTTACATATCTGGGACAAGATACTAATGAAGCAACAGGTAAGAAAAACTGGTATGAAGAGTTACCTGAAAGATTGAGAAACAGAGAAAAGAATGTGGAAGTACAAGCTAAAAAGAAGACACTGGATGATCCTATTCGTGACATCAAAAAGTATTTAAATATCATGGGAGCTGGTTCCATAGAAAAATCTTCAAAAATTAATATAGAATCTGGTAAAAGAAAGAACGATGATTCAGACAAAAGTGATTCAGATGATACAAAATCTTTAAAAAAGCACAAACACAAGAAATCAAAAAAACATAAAAAGGAAAAACATAAAGGTAAAGAAAAACAAAGTATAGAAAAACCAAATATAGATATACAAAAATTAAGAGCAGAAAGAATGTTAAGAGAACAGGGCGAAAAATTAAGAACAGAAGCTTTACTGGCTAAATTAAGAGGAGATCCAGTTCCAATAGCAACTCCAAAGTCTCCTCCTAAACCAGCTATTAAACAGAAATACAATTCACAATTTTTTCCTGAAATTGCTAGGCAAAATGCTGAAAGAACCCCTAATGTACAATCAATGAGAGAACAGTAAAATGTAAGTTGGTCTTTATTTTATAATTGTGCTATTATACTAATAGTACATACTTATCTTTATTATAATTATGTAAACATCAATACTTGTATAAACATTTGGATGAAATTTCATAAAATTTATGTTGAATTATTAACGCTATTAATAAAATATAAATAAGTCAGTTGTTAAATACAAAATATTACACAGTATGAAATTCCTAAAATAGTTCTATTTTATAAACTGCAATAAAATATAAATAAAAGATAATAAATGATCTTTAAATTTCTATTAAATGAAGTACCAGATATCCCTCGTAAATATACTCGATTATGCTAAATTTCGCGGTATCACGTGATGCAAGATGGTGGAATATCACGGATCTCATGGATAATGTATTAAAATTTGACGTTTATGTCATTTTTTCAGTATTCTTGTTCATTACTTGACTTAAATTCTTTGTTCGTAAGTAAAATTCTTTACTTTCGTACATATTAAATATTTTTATTAAATGTCCAAAATCTCATTTTAAATCTCGAACCAGACGCATAGAACGCGCGAGTTACTTTCGCGTAACATGATTTTCGAATTTGAACAGCTGTGAATGTACTTAATTACGAAGAGATGACAATTTGCAAAAATTTTCATTTTACATTAAAGAAATATAATAGTTTAACTTCGATTGTTGTTAGAAAAGTTACATTTTTAAGTCATGTTACGAATCGACCTTAAGATAACCTCTTTACTAATTTATATGAATATCGAAATTTTAAATATAATTATAAATAATTCATTAATTTTTTATACAATAAGTATAAAAATGTTTGATAAAGTTAAAAAATATTAATATCAGGAAGGTAATGTATCCAAGTAAACAGATATTAAATATTCTATTATAGAATAGACTATGCTATATACTTTTTGAAACTTATATAAAAATATTACAGTACAATTAGTTATATGTTCTGGTTTTCATGTCTTCCAACCTTAAATTTTTATTTGTAATTTATGTTTAGTATATTATGTACAATAGTTGGAAATAAATATTTATCTTTTTATCTGATAATATTAATGTCCACATATACTTGTATTACAGACAAAATGTTACTATTAATTTAAATGTCAAGAATTTTAACGATATGATTTAATTAAATATCATCACCATGAACGAAGATAGAAGTATAGAAGATTCTTCATATTTAAGTTATGAAATAAATGGCACTAGATATATTTTACAAACTATATCAGATCCAACTATAGACATAGCAAAGACTGTATCAACGAATCAAGAACAAAATACAATTAATATTATAAATGAAACACCAGTAGAGAAAGAGGACGAATCAATTTCTTTAATTTGCTTAGATGGTCAGGTTTATGCATTTCAAAATGGAGAATTACAAGAATTAGATTTTAGTCAAGTAATAGATGAAAATGAATCACAAGGAAAAACATTGTTATTATCGAAAGAAGATGATAATTGTGAACCACAGTATATTACTAATGAAGGACTAGTAATTGGAAATATTGATGAACATTCTCAAGAACAATATGATATTATCACAGGACAAAATGAAAAAAATTTTATTGTGGAAAAACATAATGTAAATGCTAATGATTTTGTGGAGGTTGTAACTGCATTCAAATGTAAAATATGTACTTACACTACTCAAGACAAAACACAGTTATTACAACATTTTCAAAAAACACATGTAAATCCAAAAATGGATATAGAGGTGAGTTTCAAAATAATTACTCCCTGTATATATTCCAATGTTTTCATTTTACAGATAAAAGAAGAATCTAAGAACACAGATGAAGTAAAATTGCTATATATGTGTGGAGAATGTTCTAGTTGCTTTCCTTCTATTGAAGATTGTAAAGAACATATGATAAATGTAATTATTTAAAACTTACTTATTTTGTTATAAGGAAATCAGAATATAAATAAAAATATATTAATGCCTTTTATTATATAGGATCATCAGTTAACAGATACAGGAGCTAACAAAGGTGGCAAAGAAAATATAACAGATGACTCAAAAGATTCTGGGTTATTAGAGTGTATAGGACAGAGTGTTGAAAATAATGATATAAAACGTCAAGTTAAAATTCAAAAACCTCTAAATTCTGAATATATGCTCAATAAAAAAATGATTGAATTGATGGAAAGAAATATAAAGTATATTTATCTTTATTATCTACTTTTTAAAAACTCATATATATTTAATTTATTTACATATAAATTTTACACTTTGTTAGGTGTTCATATCGCGGATGCCCCTATAAATTTTCGACAGAGGAAACAATGCAGCAACATGCACTTTGTCACATAGAATCACAAAATGGAACAGCATTTAAATGCAGCGTTTGTCGTGATATGAAATTTACTAAATGGAGACAGTGTAGCTTACATTTATGGAAAAAGCATCAAGTTGGTACGTATGTAATACCAATATTTATACAATAAAGTATTTAAAACGCAAAATTTTAGATATAGGTTTATTTACTTGTAAAATATGTAAAGCATATAAGAGTGCAACAATGGTAAAACTTTTAACTCATATGCGTGTGCATAGTGAGACTCGTGAGTATGAATGTTCAGAATGTGGCAAATGTTTTAAACAAGCCAGTCAATTACGTAATCACAGAGTGATGCATTTGGATCGTAAAACATTGGAAGTAACACGATGGTATACTTCAAAGAAATGTGATATGTGTGGAAAGACTTATGCAAATTCCAAATGTTTAAAAAGTCATATTCAAGCAGTTCATTCGAAATTGCGACCATACGTTTGTAATGTCTGTGGACATTCTAGCGCTAGAAAAGCAATGTTGCAAATGCATTTACGTCAACATACTGGTGATAAACCCTTTAGTTGTGAACTTTGTGAATACAAAACTGGAGATCACAATACGTTGCGACGTCACATTATGCAGCATACAGGTATATATATGTAAAAAGGTATGAAATAATACAAAAAGGTATCTAAAAATTACAAGCATAAATAATATTTACAGGTTTTAGACCTTACAAATGCCCTCATTGTTCTTACACTGCAATACAAAGTAGTAGTTATAAAAATCATTTAAAATCTAGACATCCCTTATTGTCTGGTTTATTTACATGTGACCTATGTCCCTTTAAAACTGTAAAAAATCAAAGTTATATACAACATGTAAGAGATCATGAAAAGGGATTAATCAAAGCAAATATGCAAAAGAAGGGTATGTGTGAATTTTTTATTAAGACATTTACAACTATTAATTTAAAGCTATATACTTTTTCAGATAGTGAAAGCGTCGAAGTTTTTCCTGGCAACATTGCAGCGGCCCAATTAATTTATAGTTGTTTGGGTGCATTTTCAAAAGTGGGAGATACTTTAGAAGCAAACTTAATGTCTTCCTCAACATCTGCGGATGGTACATCACAAACAATTACGATACAAATTCCATCGAAACATCTTGAAGGTTCACTGCCAACAAGAGAAAGTGGAACTAAAAATAATTCAGCAATTGAACAAGAAGATGAAGAAACAATGCATTGTTTCTTAAAAATTCCAAGAGAAGAAGAAGAAAGCATAGATACTGGTGGTATAACTATACCTGCAGAACCTGAAGAATCAGGTGCAACAACAATTAATGTTGATACGTGAAAATATAGAATCTTACATCGCTAACAAAAATACTTTTGTATATTCAAAAACAATCGGAAATTTATACTTGAAAAGTAAATGAAAAAATGCTAGTCACGCGTTACTTAGATGGTATGAAACAACGTGTTCTTTTTTGACAAAAACCTAGGATTAATATATTAATTTTTTAAATCCTAATTGTGATACTATTTTTGGAATTGTATATTATATCTGCAAAAACAAATTTAATAATTCAGATGTTCTGTTTGAAAGAAATTTTTGTATATTATTTTAAAGAAATGAAAACATATGCACATTTTCAATCAATTAATTGCATTAATGATTCTATGTTCGTATTTGTTCAAAAGAAGTTTTATTTTGCTTTAAAATAAGATTTTATAGTTAATAGAAAATAGTTTTGAGACTTTTTTACTTTAAATTTTACTACAGATATAATTTATTATATACTAAAACACATTTAAGATTTTGAATGTATTTATTGATAATTAATAGGAAATTAGTAGAAGTGTACATAAAAATTGTAAAATAATAATTTGGAAACTATTGTAATATGTAAATTACAATGTTTCGTATGGTACAATACAATTTAAAATAATATTTTACATGATGGACTAAAGAGAAATGATCTAATGTTTTTGACTTGATTAGCCATCAGGTAAAAATGATACTTATTGCTATGGAAGATTGAATTTAAGATCTTTTTAAAAGATTTCAATATTAATTACTGAATGTCACAAATATGTCCCCACAAATTGAAATTTCGGTATCAATTTGCTTAAGTGCAGGTTTTTGAAAATGGTAATTGATGGATATGTAAACATATTATTCTTAAAAATCCAATAGAAAAATAAAAAATATATGTCGGTAACTTATAATATATAACACTTGCCTTTTTATATGTATTTTGTAAAAAAAAAAAGCATGAGGTGAAATAAAGAATACTGTTTTTCACGATAGCCTAAGCAAATTGATACGAGTCATTATTTACAGCTAATTATTCATAAAATGTGAGAAGTTCCTGTTTTTAAGCGGCTGATGCGGATCTTCTCGTAAATTACACATCATATCACAACTAACAGTCCTTGGACAGTTCGCCATAATAAGCCGTTAAAGCTATTAACCTCCTGTCAATAAAGTTTTGCTCCACTTCTACACCACCTACTCCGGTTAATATGGCAAGCTGTAAATTTGTATATGTGTATAAAAATATAAAGCTATCAATGTATAGTGCAGTATAGAGTAACATAGAATATCGGAATTTTTAGAATCGTTCTGGATTATGAAAATTTACCTGCATAGTATCTATATTTCTAGGTAGAAAGTAGGCCACATCATCTGTGATTTTTCTTGCTATATTAAATATATTTACTCCACCAATGGGATGCATAATGTTATTGAGATCTAAAGTATCATTCTTATTATAATCAGGTCCTCCCCATGGAGGACTCAGAAACACAACATCTGCGATTAATTTTGATGCGATCTTAAGAAAATCTCCAACAATGAATTCTATTCTGTCATCAACACCATAAACACGGGCGTTGTTTCGAGCAAGTTCGATTTTAGCTGGATCTATATCTATTGCAAGTACTGTGAAAAGGGAAATATTATGAACTTGTACATTAAATATAAATTATACTACAAGCAAACATACCTCTTTCACAAGTAAAAGCAAATTGAATAGCATTTCCTCCTGCGCCACAGAATGCATCAATTATGGTATCACATCTGCATCTTTCAGCTATGTGCTTGGCAATTTTTTCTGGCGTGACAGAAAACCAACTTTCTATGAAAGATATTTTATTATAAAAATTAAATATTCGTATATATATTATTAAATGATTCATAAAATGTTTCATATTTAGTCTTTTAAAGATAATAAATCTTAATTGTTATATAAATAGAATCAAATGACATACCACGATCCATTTTAATGCCTTCATCAAACTTGCTAAACAGATGATATCTCTTTAACCAATACTTCATTAAACATTTATCACTGACTATTTCTACTGGAAGGCTTATACTTTTTTTAGATTGCTTCCTTCGTTTTTTCTTTTGTATTCTCTTTATATTGTCCTCATCTGATAATTTCATACTTTGTATTTCGTTGTTACTATTGTTTTCATCTATATCCATATCAACATTTAATCCGTCGCAATATTCATTATCTTGTTCGGCAAACTGGTCTTCCGATGCACATTTTGTAAGATCATTTGTTTTATCTTGATCAATGTATATGTCATCATCCTCGATATTGTGAAAAACATCGTCTTGACTACCGAATATATTTAAAGTATCATGAATATCATCGAATTGTCTTTTATCTGCTACTGAATCTATTGAACTTGTGCTTGGTTTATTAAATACAAATCGCTTCGTTTGCAACTTTGTCTTAAGGCTATCATCACATTCATCATCAGAACTTGATGTAAATTGTGCTGTATAGGAACCTGTTTCAGAGGGTTGTAATTCTGCTTTCGCTGATGGCAAAATAGGGCAATATGATAAATAATGTTTCACCTGTAAAATAAAATAAAATATAAATTACTTATGTATCCCTATATTATTATTAAAAAAAAAAAAAAAAAAATGTATTTACTTTGTCTATAGTGTTAGTAATTTCCTCTCCATTATCATCAAAGTATATATGTTTATTTGCTGGTTTGAATCTATAGTATCTCATTTTTAATTGTCTATTTGATAACCTAATGTTTTTTTTCTTGTATACTACTTCTCCTTGAAGATTTGATTGCTCGTAATTTTTGTTAAAAGTATATCCCATTAATGAAAACGCTTTTTTTACTGACTCTAAACCTTCTTCTGAATCATTGTAATCAGCCTCATGACTAAAATGGAAATTACATATAAATATAACATTATTACTTATCTTAATGCATTAAAAACAAATGATACTTCACCTTCGTTTTAATGTTATAGGTTTATCTTCATTGGGATCATCTCCATCTCCTCCATCAGAAAATTTTCGTTGAATACTATTGTTGCCGCTATTGTTAGTAGAAACAATTGCACTATTTTGTGCGATTAAAATTTGATCATCATGTTCACCTTCTTGGGAATATTCCATTTTATTGTTTTTTTCATCTTTATCTACAATAGGTTCATTATCTACTGTGTTTATTGTAAAATTTCGAATAAACATTCCCACTGATTCTGTAATTAATCGTTTCTTTTTTAGTTTTTCTTTCTTAGTATAAGAAAAATGTTTGTTAGACACATTTTTACTTTCGGAAATATTAATTTTATTAGATGTATCTATTTCTCTTTGTGTAAAGTCTTGATCTATACTTTCATCACTTTCATCCTCTTTCATATCTACATCATTATGTTCCTGGTTATAACTTTGATTGCCAATCTCAGATTGCTCCCTTTTATATTTCTCTATAAATAATTTATAATGGGTTTCATATTCTATTTGAAAATTCTCTTTCCATAAATGCTGCCAGTATCTATCAGTATCTTCTGCAATATCTTGATCATTATCTTGATCTGAACTGGTATTTGTTATATTGCTTTCAATGGAACTAGTTACAGAACTAATGAGATTAGATGAATTTGTAGAGATAGAATCACAACTAGAACTAGTAAGGGTCATTTTTGTGACATTTGTCATAGAATCTGATGTTGCATTTGTTTTTGCTATAGATTCATTAATGGAATCGCACCTTGTTAAAAGTCTTTCATCTTCTGCATTAGACTGTTGATTATAACTCTCTTCCATACTAAAAGGACTCAATGGATTCCAGCCATCTCCAGTTTCTGGTGATGTTTCAAAATTTGTTAACTTTTTTCTATTATCTTCTGCATCTTTATCATTTATTTCTTGTTTTCTTACATCATCAAATGAAAAATTAATGCTACATGTATTATTTGCTTTCATTTCATTATCACCAGCACTATTACTTTTACTAAATATTCCTTCAAAATTTGAGCGATCAAGTTCACAATTTTTGTGTGCTTGACTAGGAAAACATGTATTTTGTTCTGAGAATTTTTCAATAGTTTCTTTCATTTCCAATTTTTCACCACTTATTAAATGAGCATACTGTTGTAAATATTCTGGATTTATGTAATCTGCATATTTTCTAATCCAAGTTGTCCAAATTATATGTTCACGATTTTCACACCAATATTTCTCCCATGCAATATCCATTATATTCTTAGTTTTAGAATACATAGAATAATATGGATAATCATGAAAGTTATCATCACAGTTATACCTAACATCTTCATTATAAGTCTGTGTATCATTTAGGGAAACATTTTTAAATATATTATGTATTTCAAAATCTTTGTCTTCTGACGAGCATAATGGCTTTTCTAGATGAAATTCCTTTTCGTTATATGTGGATGGATCATAATTTAAAACTTCAATGCTATCTGCAAGATGATCTGATGAATGAATATTTACCATTTTAGATTCAAATTTTAGGTCTTTTTCTTCTTGATGTTGTGCAAGTATATTCACTTTGTCAAATTCATCCTCCAGTTCAGTCTCTGTAGTTTGGAAAGTTTTTCCATAAGATGCCAATAAATTTTGTATACTTTTAGCCTCATGTTGGTCATGATATTCAGATAAGTCTGCACCTGAATCTGACTGATGCAGGCCCAGCTTTTGTGTGAGGGAATGTGTAGTAGGACGATAAGCAGAATCACGAACAGAGTCATGTTCATCTGTGGAATAATTGTTGTCTGTGTGTGAAGCACTGCAGTAGCAGCTCACTGGTTCTTCCTAATTATAAAGAAGAAAAATATATTCTTGATCATTTACTCTTCAGTATAAATATCTATATTATGCCATCAAATTAAGAATAACCAAATAACCAAGAATAATTAAAAATAAAAACAAAACAAAAATATTCTTACATCATGTTTTTCAATAGATTGTGCTTCTATAATAGACCTTTTATGAAGATCTAACATTTCTCCAACACAATCACCCTCAACATCTTCATCTTCACTAGCATTTTCTAGAGCAAGGATTGTATAAACTTCTGGGTTTCTAAAAATAAAAAAAGAAACTGACCACATGTATGTTCTAAACAAACATACATTTAATTACATTATTTCAATACTATATTTATTTTATTGAAAATAACAGAATGTAATTTATATATTTCTCAGCATAAAAGTTACATAATGACATGAAAAATTATATGATATATTTCAGATTTTAATTCTATTAATTTCCACGTGGTATGAATTGTTTATTTTCGATAATATTTCGCAAAGTTAAATACAAAGGCAAAGAAATATGTTCGGAAGTTGTAAATTTGCTTGCGAATATATTTGTTAGAAAAACAATATTACCATATTCTTAATACGTGTTAAACAAAGAAAGTTATATATTGTAAGTCCCCAAAAAATATATTGTGACCTAGCTCATTCGAGTGGGTGTCAAGGTTAGGTCATGTGTCACGCCACTAATCGATAAACGAGTATTACACTCAATTTTCAAGAAAGTAATAAAAATACTACGGATATAGGATGTAGAAATGAAATTGCGACGTTTGGTAGAACAAATGATTTATACTCTTGCAGGTGTATTTACCCAATAAATACTCTGCTGCAAAGACAATAAATGTAATTATCAGGGTTAGAAGACTCTGCTCGATCTGCGATGTACACTTCGGCTAAAGGTTCCCAAAAATGATCACTCATGCCGAAAGGAGTGTTTAATTGACTACTTGTTCGTGAATCGTTACAACACCCACATGTCTCACGCTCAAATTTTTACAACTCCCCCAATGTAAAAACAATCCGCCATTTCCTGGATAGCGCACCATCGTGAAGTTGCACCTGATTACCATCATCTTATAATGATCAATCGATAACTAATTTTTTGGTTAAGTTTAATTTGTTTTCTTATATACTGTTTTTCTTATAGTCGCAATTGCAATTCAGAGTTAAATTATAACCAAACCGCAATTTCTTGGATTTGGACAAAACATTTCTCGATTACCCTTTAATTCTAGATTATGTAAATTATTTATAGAAATTTAATACATTTACGAGAAATAAGATATTTTTTATATTATTTTGATCCTTATATACAATAAAAATAATATCTTTTCAATTATTATTTCCAATTGTTAAATATGTTTACCGTGAAAACATTATAAACAAGATATATCCACAGATACAGTAGTCTATTAACAGATTCTGAATGTAGATAAAACTCTATGAAAATTCAGTAGTTAGATTAATAATAATAGAATATCCAAGTCTAGAAGGATCAATTTAAATAAATCATTTTTAAAATATCGAAAATTGTAACACTACAATATATATTTTTCGATTCAAATTAAAAAGATTCGTACGTTTTCCACCTTACTATCTGCTGCATATACTTGCATGCGTTTCCCTGTTTTACCTACGTGCTCGTTGCTCGTGTACCTATTTTATCCTGCATCAATGATCTCATCTGTGCAGCTTTCTCCTTCAATATTACCTTAATAGGTATGTCAGATTCCTACCCTCGGTCTCACAAGGTAATTAACCATCATCCCCATTACCACTGTAACGTGGTGCCCTCTTCAGTGATTTTCTATTATTTCTTAAATACGATATTTCTCGAGAAATATTATTTACAAAACATTTAAAACTTGCTTTCTTATACGAGCCTTACCATCTTCTTATTTTTACCACGAATTATCTTACCTTTCGAACACAGTTTAGGTTAATACCATTACTTCAGGCGACTATAGATCTATAATCGAGAGCTATATAATTAAATCTGACAGATAGTATGAATGTTAGATCGTTTTCGAAAACTTACACTCGCGTTCAATTAAACTAGAAACGTTCAAATCAACTTGGTCGGAAAAGACCCGACACATAGCGCTATCTCGCGGGATGCTGCGGAAGTACGAGCCCGCGAACGGAGTAATGGCGTAGGCGGCGATCCATGTGATAAATTAATTTTTATAGCTTCGTGGGTGGCGGCTCTTTCTATTGGTTGCTGATCGGGCGCCTCCCACTTGGAACGACGTTGCCTTCTCCTGGTTTATTCCATTCAGCTGTGATACCATGATATACCATTTGTCTCGTTTTAAATGAGCTGGCAGGGGAACGGTATGGACGGGTGTAATTGAAATACATTCGCGGATATCCCTCGGTCGACGCACAACAAAGGCGCAGCTCTCGCACGGCGAGGCATTTTTATCCAACGGATCACCGTTTTTAAAGAACATTCGACGTAACTGCGCATTACCTGTGGATCGTTCACGTTTTACGACGATAATCGCTCCGTGCCGAGATTACGTAAGGATCAATACGATTTTTACTTTACCGCCTCGCGTCGTGCGATTACCAGATGAGTCGCTCGAACTTTAATTGTCATTGTTCGATCACGAGTCAGCCAGTTTTTACGCGGATGCAATTATTTCGCGTTGCAGGATCGAGATAAACAAATCTTAACGATTGCTATTGTCCATGTAACGATTGCAAGGATAATGACGAATGGATTAATAGAGGATTCGAATCGGTTGTCATTTTAGGTTAGGAAAATTAACTTCTCGGTATCGAATCGATTTTTATTATCATCATAAATATTACACGCTTCGAGGAAGCCAAAAATTTGAAGAAAAAGGTAGTTAACTTGATATTTCATTTCATCCAAAATTCTTTTTTTTTTCAATAAAACAATTTATCGAAATGGAAGAAGTTACTGGCGACATCTGTAGAATTAATTTTGAACCTCGAACTAATTAATAGAAACGGTAAAAGATTCAATGTAGGTATTTATAAGGAGAAATTAAAAATTTTGCATTCTGATACATATATATATACACGTTATTTATATCGGTTATTTAAATTGAGACAGTGTGAGAATTATCGTCGATCTTTATCGAATATTCGAGAAATATTTACGCAATCGTGGTGGACATATCTAACCCTGCGTTAAAGTCACCATGCTACTCTCTCATGCGGGCATCGAAGTCTCTTCCATATGTCGAGTCGCGCACGTTAGGAATCACTCTAAATTCAATAATCAATGAAAACGGGGGCAATCTACGAATAACGCTTTTAAATTTTATGGGATAAAGCTCGTCGTGTATTTATTCATTTATAGTTAACAATATCAAATTTTACCTGTTAATAATCATGGAAAAAGGAAGTGTTGATCATGTACAAATGTTAGCGTTGCTCCAAAGTCATCGATGATTGCACCAAGCAATGGGAATCTATTAACATAAAAATTTATTTTGCATATTTCACACAGCATTAGGTACTACGCCATGCAATTATTTTTAAAAAATACCACTCTCATCTTGAAAAAAAAAGAAAAAAGAAGAAGGGGAACACAGTTTCTAAAATATACTTTGTTTCGAAAGTATATGGAATTTTCGCAATCGCAATTTTCCGAGTTTCTAATTGCAATTCTCTGGGTCGCAATTTTTCTAGCTGCGATTTTTCCAATTGCAAATCTTAGGGTCGCGATTTTTCCGATTGCAATTTTCCGAGTCGCTGTTTTCCTAGCTGCGGTTTTTCCTATTGCAATTTTCTGGGTAGCAATTTTCATAGTTGCGATTTTTCCAATTGCAAATCTTAGGATCGCGATTTTTCCGATTGCAATTTTCCGAGTCGCTATTTCTCTAGCTCCGATTTTTCCTATTGCAATTCTCCGAGTCGAGATTTTCCTAGTCGCGATTTTTCCAATTGCAATTCTCTGGGTTGCAATTTTTATAGCAACGAATTTTCCAATTGCAAATCTTAGAGTTGCGAATTTTCCAATTGCAATTTTCCGAGTCGCCATTTTCCTAGCTGCGATTTTTCCAATTGCGAATCTCAGAGTTGCGATTTTTCCAATTGCAATTTTCCGAGTCACGATTTTCCTAGCTGCGATTTTTCCAATTGCAATTCTCCGAGTCGCTATTTCCCCGAGCTGGAATTTTTCCAATCGCGATTTTGCAAATTTCGAATTCGGAATTCGCAAAAATAGTAGCAAACTGAAAAGCCATCTCATCCAAAACGAACGCTCGCGCGTTCGTCAATTACATTTATTATTCGAGCGACTACTATAGTTACGCGAATCGGCACGGCACACATTTATGGCGAGCGCACTTTTCCGCACGTGCCCGTCTGCGGAGCACGTGGAAATCGCAACGTCGAACGTACGGCTCATTAAATATAGATGGTTATCTCTCGATACTCGGAAGGCCCGAGGATAAGATACTCCGGCTACTTTACGATCCGTCCATGCTGCCTCTCAGATTAGGAAACGTCCTCGCCACGTGGAAAGTTCATAACTTTTAACCTCCGTCTCCTTTTTCCTCCCGCGTGTCAAAGGATCCACGATCTACGAGCCTGTTCGCGTCTATGATCTATTAGCCTAATCGATGAAATCGATTGAACAAGTTTCGATAGACACGTGTTTCGAGGAAGAACGAGCGAATCGGTGTCAATTGCTCGCGCTGCCATCATTCGCGAAGGTCGCGTCTCCTTCGCGGACGTTCCGAAAAACTGGAACCACTGTTTGCGAATTGCAAAAATTCTCGAATCCCTGGAACTGGAAGTCTCTCAGCTCATTGAACGATGGTCTAGCGGAAGCTTGTCGCCTGGTCTGAGCGCGAAAAGCGGCTGGAGAGGATGGCGGGACGCGGAGCATGCTCGTATCGGTCGCGAAGTAACGCAGGATGCTCTCTGGCGCGCTGGAGATGGATGCTGCACGGGGAGAGATCGACAAGCTCGCGAGATCGGAACCAGGAGGAGAAGCAACAACATCGGAAAGCGAAGTGGGAGGTGGAGGAACTAGGAACAACAGGACTGCTCGAAGGAAGCTGAAGAGGGAGAGAAGACGAAGAAGAGGAAGCAACTGCAGCAGCAGCAGCAGCAGCGGCAGCAGCTGAAGAAGAAGAAGAAGAAGAAGAAGCAGCAGCAGAAGAAGAAGAAGAAGAAGAAGAAGGAGAAGGAGAAGGATGAGAAGGTGGAAGGTGGAGGAAGAGACAGCTCAGAGGTACCGTGGAGGAAGAGGAGGAAGAAGACGAAGAAGAGGACGAAGCGTCGAGAAGGAGAGGGTAGAGCCGTGGTGGGAGGAGAGAGAACGAGAGAAGGCCGCGGTAGTCTTTCTCGGTCGACTAGGTAAGATAAGGACGAGGCGGACAAACGGACTGACGAAGGTGGCCAAGGTAGGGGATATTCAGTCTCGCGGCCACGTGCTACACGAGCGCACGCCCCGAGCCGGCCGGTGGTCCAGCCACGACTCCGTCCTCTTCTTCTTCGTCCCGTTTTGTCCCACGCTTCCTCCTTCTTCTCCCTTCCATTCTTCTTTCGTACACCGACTTCGCCTCCGTGCGCTCCTCTCTTCTCTTCTTTCCCATTTTTTTCTCTCTTCCTGCTCCTCTTCGTCGACTTTTTTCGCGTCCCCGCCGCCGTCGCCGTCGCCTGCCCTGGCTGCCTCCGCCGCTTCCGAGTCCCGCGTCCACGACTCGTGTTCCCCGCGAGCGGATTCCGAGTGGACGCCGCGCGAGCTACGAGCGCCTCGCGGCCCGGCTAATCGCGGGAACGCTCGAGCTACGAGCGCCTCGAGTGTCGCGAGCGCCGAGTTTTCCGAGGTCCAAGTGCGAGATCCGTCGTGTCCAAAGCGTCGCGGTCGATTGTTCGGTTGGTTGTTCCGTAACCTGCAGCTAGTGGTGCGTCGTTCCACGGATACGAGGGCCGGGTCGAGACGGCAGCCATGGGAACGGTCGCCGAGGATGGTGCGCGAAATGACACGCGGCGAACCTGCCGTTTCGTACTCTGAGGCGACGCGCGGCCGGAAGTACCAGGCTACGCGCAGGAGGATACTCCACCAGTGAGACTCTCGACCAGTTGTCCCGTTGGCTGATGGTACGTGTAACACGCTCGTCGGAGTCGGTGTACAAGCGTGCACGAGGTTGTCGAAGGATTCGAGCTGGAGAACGTGTCGTCGAGTAGTCGTCGATCTTGCCTGGTGATCTCTGTGGTGATTGTGATGGCTCCTGGACACCTTGTGTTTACTCGAGAAACGTCTCGCTATTGTACAGGGGTGGTTTTACAATGCTCGTTGCAAGGTCGTAGGAAACAAAGAGTGGACTGTAAGATCGCGAAGGACCCGAAGATCGAGGAGATGGCAGGCGAGTGAAGTCTCTGGCAAGTTTAACGAGCCAGCTACTAGCCTCTGGCTAGTACGAAAAATCAATTCGGTCGTCTCTGTCTCTCCTCTTCTCTTGCTCTCCCTGGCCGATTCGGCGGCGTCGACGATTAATTTGTCACGACGTCCGGGCACAACAATTTCAACTGTCTGCAGTCGGTACCATGATATCCGTGTGACGTGCCGCTCACAACCGGTTCATTAAAGTTGCAGCCGCTCGTCACTCATTGGCTGCCACGGGCTGGCAGCGATCGTGATGCTTGCGATAGAAAAAAAGCGAGAGAGGAGGAAAGGAAAAAAGAGAGAAAAAGGTGAAAAAAGACAGAGAGGATGGAAAAAACGAGGAGAGGAGCGAGAGAGCACGCGTGCGTGCGAGAGAGGATCGCGTATATCGGCGATACTTTTGACGCGAGTGTTTCACCTTTCAATCATTATTATTACGAACACCGATGCCTCGATGGATGGTCAGCCGGGGTGAAAAAGTTGACGGACAATTAGGATATTAATGATGCGTGACAGCCTGGGAAAGCCGAAAAAAATTCTGCCAGCCGTTCCTCTCTGGCCTTTACGCGCCGTGTGTCCCACTCCGCTCGAGTTCCAACCGTGTTCCCGGTTTGGCCAACGATTTCTTCCATATCTCCATTAGATATCCAAGTCACGATTGCGATCTTCGTGTCGAGCCTTCCATCTTCCAGCTATTTTTCGCCATTTTGCGATTCTTCTTTCGGTTCCGCAAAAATTCCACGTTGCTTTATCCACCGTAGATTTCTCATTCTCAGTCTTATCTCTTTCTTATTCTTATTCTCAGTATTTTCGAGGATTTCCTACTCTAAAGAGTACCTCAAGAGTACTCGAAGTACCTTTGAAGATGGAACATAGATAATAGATTGGTCTTTACGCGCCATGTGTACCACTATGCTCAAGTTGGAATCATATTCCCGGTTTGGCCAACGATTTCATATCTCGATTAGATATCGAAATCACGATTAAGATATCCGTGCCGATTCCTCGATCTTCCAACAATTTTTCGCTATTTTGCGATTCCTCTTTCGGTTCCGCAAAAATTCCACGTTGCTTTATCCACCGTAGATTTCTCATTCTCAGTCTTATCTCTTTCTTATTCTTATTCTCAGTATTTTCGAGGATTTCCTACTCTAAAGAGTACCTCAAGAGTACTCGAAGTACCTTTGAAGATGGAACATAGATAATAGATTGGTCTTTACGCGCCATGTGTACCACTATGCTCAAGTTGGAA